TAATTCTCCTTCTTTCAACAAATTGTGAATGCTATTGAGTGATTGGACAAGGTTGAAGGACAGATAATCGCTAAATTTTGTGATGATAATTTTTATGGCACATATTCTATCGTCATAAATGAGCATAGCGAATTGGAGATTCAGTTTTCATAATATACTTTGCACTGGATATTATGGCTTATTTAGTGATGAAATTAATGAATACTGGATACACATTTGATATTCTGAGTGATAGCAGTGGTTGAAGCAAAAAAGTAGAATGCAGATTTGTAACTGAATTTTTGTTGCATATATCATTCATTCACTGAAGAATATGTAACTGTCTATATTTGCTTTGTACCATGCTGATCATATATCTCATTCCTCTCTTTTATCTTACACATGCAATTCATTCTTCACCCTCAGTTATTGTACTCGTATTTTCATGCAAAATAATTTTAATGAAAATTGGTAACTGCTAGAGAGTTATGGTTAAATTTCAAGAATAATATATTGCTCTAATTTTCTGTTGCTAGGATTAGAGCATATAACTTTTGATTACCTTCCTCTCTAAAAGTCAGCATTGTATTATCTCTTAGTGCAGTATTGTTTCCTCCAGATATATCAAGATACAACCATTTTGTAGTTTGTTTTTTTCAGAATCAGTTTCCAGTTCCAGCGTGAACTTTGATGAGAAATGGAAAAAGTTAATGAAAACGTGCAGCTCTCTACATGTTACTGATTTACTTGGGAATCATTATTTTTACTTTGTTAGTTCAGTATATAAAAACTCATTTATTTTTCCCTAAAATTATCCATTACTTTCCTTTAATTTTTTATTATACTTCCTTCCATTGCTTACTGCAGTGTGATGAATCTAAATTTGAGTGATTGTGTAGTATCTACCTTATTTCTCTGGTCACTAATTCAGTTGCCGACATTTAATGATACGAACTATTTGTTGACATTTCATGATGCAAAATTAGATTCGCTGCTAGTAAAGAGATTATTTCTTGAATTATAGATTCTGATCATAAGGGGAAATCAGAAGGAAAACAATACTACTAGATTTTTATAGATTACTAGTTGAAATGAAAAGAAGGATAACTAACATCCAATAATGTTTTCTACTTAGTAACAAATTTTGTATTTTTTAGGAAATCAGTTATTAAGAAAGAAAAATGAATTTGGCAGTAATTTGATAAGATAACCTGAAATTAATTTTATTCTTTTAATCTATGGGTTTTTACTACATAACTTGGCTATATGAAAAAATTGGTTCGGCCTTGCATTAATCCGTTGTAGCAAAAAATTGTTTTTTCTAATTCACTTTGGTGTATGATTATATGGTGTACAGTTCATGAGAGAAAATTTTAGTGAAACATTTCACGATTATTTTTTACAATTTAAAATTTTATTCTTCTCAATTTCTTTTTTCCAAATATAAATTTTACGGGATTAATAAAAATTTGTAGGGAAAGTTTATGATTATGTGAAAACTTTGTGCAGTGTTATGTCACTCACTATGAATATTGAAAAAAGTTTTGAAACTGTCGGAACTAAACATTAATTAGTATAGTTGCATGATATTCTTGAATTTTTTAATTCTGACAAATAAAATTGAGCGAAATCCATGATATAAATATAGATGTTTTATTCATATGAATGCGATAAAGTAATTATTCACTGTTAAGCTTTAAATGTTATTTTTCATTCCTTCTTGATCGAAATCAAGGGCCGATTCATTATTGTCTTGCTGAACTTACGTGTATGAATCAGTTATTTGTAACTCTCTGATGTTTCAGCACTCAACTGATTTTGCTTCTTGCTTCAGCATTATTAATTGTAAAAAATAATCGCATCGCAACTGAGCATGTATTTAATTTAAACTAGAGCAAAATTTTTCTGACCTCTAAATGAGAGAACTAGTTTTTGCTTGAATAAATTCAAGCAATTTCAAATGTCAATATCATTTTTTTCAATTCAAAGTCAGTCAAAGTAGATGAGATAAAAAGCAAAAAATAAGTAAAATGCAAAGCTGAAACTAATTTATTTTTCGTATTATTTCTCTTAATTTAAGTTCTTTTGTATTATTCTCATAATTTTTGTCTCTTTAATTTAACGAAGTTCTAAAAAATCAGTTTCTTATGTTAACTTCTGTTCTTTATTTTATAAGCAAAATTTTGTAATAGTTAAGATTCGTTTTGAAATACAGAACGCTTGCATGGATATATAGATGTATTTTGATATCATCAATCAGGTCATCCTTTCAGATAAAAAGGATACGTTGCAGCTTATTTTCATATATTTTGTTTACTAAATTATGTCCTTAAAAGTTATCAATGTGAGCATATTTTTCAATTCTTATTTTAATCAAATTACAAACCATGATCATGCAAATTCAAATTTACAGTATGTAAAGACATTTCCCATTAAGTATTCTCTGCATTCATATTTACACAGCTTTTCGAGTTTAAAGTAGAAATATAATGTATGCAAATGAAATAACATATTATGCAGAACAGACAAATCACAGTTAAGTGCTAACACTTACTGATAAGTGTTTGTGTAGAGTTATTTCATCAATTCATGTATAAATTCAAGTTTCATATCTGTATTTTTCAGTGCTATTTACGAAAGGATAAGGGAGTGGCTGACTAGTCCTGTCACGTCTCCCGAGATTACCATATAACTTTGACGTATTATAAATCTGTTTTCATTCATCTCAAATACTAACTTTGAGGTAAAGTTAACTATTTCCTTTGAATTTTTTACATAGAAGTTTTTATGTGATCACTGAAATTTTTACTGAAATCATAAAATGTTGTTGGCGAAATCTGCTGTATGGTATAAAGTTTCGCTGATTAATTGCTGCTATTTAGGATACTGTAAAAAGGCGTGAATTGCTGGTATCATTTCTCACTTTGTAATTTCTTGTAACAATAATTCGTTTTCATGAATAAGGTAATGAAATGAGAAAAAATATCGACAAATGTTGGCAGTCAAATAAGTTAACTCTAATTTTAAAACTTAAGTTTGTCTGGATTTTAAAATTCGCAAAAATTTTCGAAAAGAGTAGACCAAGAAAAGCGTGCAAATGCGTTGATGATTGCATTCATTCAGTTATATGGAATACTTTTCATGACTTTTCTGGATGAAAAATCAACGACAGTAAACTAGTACTTTTGGTATGCGATGGAAGTTAGCTAATGAGGTTTCTTGTCGGCATGACTTAGTCTTCTTGGCTTATTAATAGCTTGCGCTGAAGTCTGAAGTTTTATCAAAGCTTACGTATTTTTGTTATTTATCAGCACAATTTATTATTCCTACCTATATCCGTTCCTGCTGTCAGTAGGGACTTCTAGAGTGATATTTATGACTAATCTTGCAAAAGCAAAAGCACGATTAGTCATAAATATCACTCTAGAAACGAGATAATAAAAAATCTTGAAAAACATCAGTATTTAGTATGCTGCTTATTTACTCACTAAGTTGACTTACACTTTTCGCTCTATCATTATCATCATTCCTTATAAAACATTATAAAATGAGCAGAAGAAACATTTGCTAACGAAGAAAAACTTGTTCAGTTTACGTTCAATATTATCTATCACTTTTCTTTAAGTTTGAGTAAAAGAATTGATCATTTTTCGTCATAGTTTTGTAATCAGCAAGATTCTCAGAAATTGTACAGTAAACTCCATAGAGTAATATATTGCGGGAATACGATCAAATGTAGGATACAAATGTAATGAGAACTCATACTGCACTGGAACATTTATTATTATTATTATTATTATTACAATAATATAATATCTATTTATTGCTCTATCATTTCTATTTCTGTACACTTCAAAAGTGCTAAAAAATTGTCGAATATTTTTTGGTATATAAAATCAAATTGAAAATCCTATCTTATTGATTGATTGATTCTTTTATGTGTGCAGTATTTTTATTCAGTCACACTTGTAAAATAAAACATTCTGGCAGAAAAAAACTTGTTTTTCCTCATTTATGGTAATTTTGGTTACCCTTTAATATTCGGGATTGTCTTGAACTATCATTAAATATATTTTCACGACAGTGATCCCTAATATCATTGTTACAAGCGGCTATTCATGAAGTCCCGGGAGTTATTATACTCATTTCGATCCTTATTTTTTAACTTATCGATGTTAAATCAGTACCACGTTCGTGTAATTTAAATATATTTATACTTAATGTCTTTGCATTTGTCTATGTTCACGTTTGTAATCCGATTTATTTTTTTCTACTCAAGTACATTGGATAAAAGGCGCGACGAGCTGAATTTGAATCAGTGCAATATGAGAGATCATTTGGGTACGATTGGCGCGGTTAGACGGGATGTTTCTAATCTGATCGTATTTTGATATCTGTTGATGAAAAGTTATTCTTCAAGTTGATGAGCAGTAGTATGATGTTTTAGCTTCAAGTAATTATAAATTGCGAATTTTTTCTCATCCTTTCACTTTTACGTAGACGTAAATTCAGTATTCCAGCTTTCTTGCTTTCCTTGCACTATTTATTTTTTGCAGTCTTGAATCACTTGCAATATGCAAGTAACTCGTCCATTTCGCGAATAATTCTTAACACAAAATAATGTCTGAAATATAGTTACATTGTTATGGATAATTCATATTTGATGTCAGTGGATGAATAAATGTGGTCTCTCAAGCTTTACTTACTGAATTCAGAATGATTGTTAATAGTGATTCAAATAAGACAGTAATTTTTACTAGAATACTATGCATTTTTTCTTGTGTGATTTTGCGCATATTGGTCGCTTACGTACACTTCAGTTAACTCATACATTTTTCTTTTTGCAGTAGCATATAGTCACGTAGTTTCAAGATCAAGAACAAGCAAGACGAATTAATTCACTAACTGTATTTGACATATATATTTATTATATATATAAATAATTATTTGGTGCTATATAATCGATTATCAATAATCCAAAAGTCAAGAAGTTTGAAGTTGGAAGAAAGTTGTAATACAAGATGCCGTCAATAAATAATTTGGCTGGGTAAGTATTTGATTTCTATTCAATACTGCAGTAATTTGGAATCAAGTGATGCTTTGAGTTTATATAGATCTGTAGACTTTTAATTCCGTTTTCGGGTTTAATTTATTCAAAATTGAGTTTGCTGTCTATAAATGGTAGGTTTAATTCTTTTAGATTATGTATTTGCTAAAGTTTACTTTTGACAAAATTAGCTTACATACAATTTTGAGTTCTACTTATTTTTAACAATTTTTTTGATAAGTGATTCGTTATTACGTGTAATTGTTGTAGATTATCAAATGGTTGGTTTCCACGTCCGACATCCTTAGGTTTATCATCAAATAATGGTGATTCCGGTTTTCTTCAGTCAAGATATGGTAGTGCAACTGGGTCCATAAATAATGGTTTTACTAGAAGCAGGTATGTAATTACTTTGCTTTTTTTCAGTTTCATATATGTAGACTTTTTTGAATTTTGCTGCAGGAAAAGGTAATTCATCTGTCTTTTTCGAAATTAAAACTTCTTTCTAAAAGTAGATGTAAATAAAGAATGTAGTAAGACATTAATTAACTTTAATTAACATCTCAGTTTTGCAGTTCAAATCATACATCCGTCTGTTCATCACCAGCACCACGTGAACATTGTATAACTCAGCAGTTACAGAATGCTGCCGGACGTTTAACGTTGCGAAATGGAACAGTAACGTAAGATTTACACATTTCAAAGAAACAGAAGTATTTCATCTGATAAAGAAATGTAAACAGTGCTTAATATTAGAATAAAAAAGATTGGATTACTCCGCTCATATAGGTTGCGTAGTTGGTGAGTTCTGTGTGGTTTTAATGCATTTAATTTGTTCGGAAAAATTCTGTAAATTTTGTTTTTCGTTGAAATATGTCAGTTCGCAAGTTTTGGTTGCGATTTGAAGGAATGCTGATTATCTATTTGATTTTGTGACAGCGGATGACTAGGCACTTACTAATGACAATAATACGATAATAATTTTTTGAAGATAACTTAATAAGATGTTTTCGTCAGTGTTTGGGTTTATGTACAGTCATATACACCAAAAGGTTTTTAACACTTATTGTTAAATGCAAAAAAAAACGGAATCCTCATTAAATCCTTTGTTAATTTTTGTTTTTCAGGCGCAATGATGCTTCCTTGCAGCTTCATGATGCTTCGTTTCTCAGTGCCATATCTGGGTTTTATGATTTAACAACAAGAAATCTCATGACGGATAATTTCACAAAGTCTGATTTGATAAATTCTATTTTAAAATGTAAAAATAGATTTCGGTTTGAATAATGAATGTAACTAAGTGTATTTGCGAAACTAGGCCAAATTTTTTTTTGTAGAAACTAGAAATAACTTATTACTTAAGATCCTCCAGTTGGGACTGTGGTCGGACTTGATCTTTTGATAACACTCAATAATTGTTTTATTTCATATCTTTTTTCCGGAAAACCAAGTTTAGCATTAAAAAAAAGTTGGAGGGATTATTTTTACTAAAAAAATATATTTTTCATTGTAACCTTCCGTATCCATAGGTTTACCGCTACTTTTGAGCAATTATTAAGTATTACAGACAACAAGGGAATAATACACGATCAAGAGATACAATGTCGATTGCTCGTAAATTGTTGAAACCAGAAAGTTATAAGACCGTAAGTACTGTTTTTAGCTTGGACGTTTTGACAAATTTTGATTTACATGAAAAAAAATAAAGGATAGTCATATAATGAGATTAGCGGAGATGATCCTCACATTATTTTCATATATCGATCAAATTTGTATCATTATGATGGACACGATTTTCACATTATGAAAATATTCACTACTTATTGATAAAGATTGACCTTTTTTCAACTTAAATCCGGTTTATTCTTTTCTTATCTCAACACTCTTTGAATATCAGGTCATGTGCCAAGCTTGGCTTGCTAATGGGACATGTAGCTTTGGGACTAGTTGTCGATTTGCTCATGGTGAAGAGGAACTGCGTCCTTGCAAGTAACCGAGATTATTTTTTAATATTTTTTGACAATGAAAATTGCTCATAACCCCATTTATTTTATTGCTAATCAATTTTTTTCGAATCTTTGGTTAGTTTACGAAAAAGATTTCATTTCTTTCAAGGCTACCGATGAAAAATCCAAAATACAAAACTAAATTGTGCGATAAATACACAATAGATGGCCTTTGTCCATATGGTAATCGTTGCTTGTTCATTCATCCTCATGCGTTAAATGCTTCTAATCCGTACATATATCCAGACAGGGTGTGTTTTTTCTGTTTGTTGAATTTATAGCATAAATCATACTTCTAAATATCATTATTAAATTATACAGTTGCTAACTGGTTTCACATTTATAGTATAAACAAGTTGAATATGAGCGTATCATTTTGGAGTCGATGAAAAAAAACAGATTGAAAGTAAAGGCGGGTCATATAAAAAGCCAGCCACCGCCGTCTTGGCCACTCGAGACGCCTGCATTCTTTTCAGCCCATCGTTATAGATTTGACCACTTGGCTGAAAATATCAATCCTGTTACCAACAGTTCAAGCATTACTTTCGGTCAGTTACTTGCTTGCAGTATTACTGAAAAATCATTCATTTGATAATATATATACATTGAGTATATTCATTCTTTAAATTCATGTGAGATGAGATGCCAAGAATTGAATCCTTTTTTTGGATAAATACTGAATTAGCGATTTTAAACGCACTGTTACTATCGGTGTCATAAATTTCATGTACTGAACTACATAAAATCTCTAATAATGATTTTTTTTGAATAGGTCTGTTACTTTCATCGTTTAGTGTTTTTAGGACGCAGGAATGTAAGCAGTCAAGCTTCAGCACTCAACGATATTACGAATCAGGTAATGCAATCGAGGATCCCACAGGATGTTTTTTTTACGCGCAATCGTTATTCAAATGGGAACAGAAGAGGAAATCAATCGAATTCAGCTTCTAGTTCATCCGGTGGTAACTCTGGATTGACATTCTCTAATCATTCTGCTCCAACAATGGATTCTTTGTATGCTACGAATTGTCCCTTTCAATTCGCAATCATTACTGACAATCTTGCACGATCACTGGCTTGTGAGTTTAACGTCGATTAAAAATGTGAAGCATCAGTTTAACTTTTATTATGTTTTATTAATGAGTTAAGGCAGTTTTATTCCGCTACTTGTGTCATTTAAAAGAAAGAGGGCTTTTCCAAGCAATTATAAATCATTTGAGTTTTATGTCCTGTCACATAACTTGGTTTTATTCTTTGTAAAATGGCGTGTAATGTATGCATCTCTGTCTATTTTCCTTAGAAGGTATCTCAAGACCGGTGATTTATAATTAAATTTATCGCTCGTAGCATGCTTGGTAGTTTCGAACGTAGGTGTTACGATGTCAATATATTAAATGAAAGGAGGTGTAGGTTATATCTAGAAAACTTATCAGCTAATGAATTTTAGTGATATACAAACTACTCCAATAGTTTTGATCTAATTTATTCAGATTGTTTGTCCAATTATAATTATTTCACACTTGGATCAAATAGAAATTATGGTGCCTCTACTACATCTGTCTTCGTAACATGTTTATACTTGAGCAGAATCAAAAAGAGAAGGAAAATTTCGTTAGTAAAAAAAAATTTGGGAAACGTTACAAACATTGATTGTTTGGTTTTGTTGCGTTCTTTTTCTGCTGAAATTCCAACGAAAATTATATTAATAACGTCAGGTAGGTATAAAATGACAATGGATTTATTTTTTAAGTAATTGGCTTGACAGTAATGAATATTCATTCTAATAAGGTGTACAGTAATTCTTGCTGTAGATTGTGCGTACGAGTTGTAATAACATTTTTCTCATCTATTTCTCATTTTTCTCCTTCCATCATATTCTCTTTTGTTCTGCGTTCACGTACATGCTCTCATCCCTTATTTTCTTCATAATTTAAAAAATTCTCAATTGAAATGTTCCTATTAAGATTAACCTCCTCCTCACTTTCGGTTAAAACAGTTGTGGGTATTTTTAACTTTTATTCTGAAATTATAAAATCAGTTTTAGACGATTTTCAGTGGACTCGATGTTGATAGAAAAGTTGTGATGTGATGCTTGCTTTTATTCATAATTTAGAAATTTTCGATATTCATAATGAAGATTTCGGAATGTGATTTTGATTTGTAATCCTAAATGGTTGTGTGGTTTTGTGATATTATATGTGTCTTATCCATTCTTACTCAAGAACGAATATCAGATAGTAACCATTTTATGTTATCACTACTGATTTTGTCCCATGTCCTTTCCTACTTGTGTCTTCAGACAATTTCTTTCAGTGATTCTCAGGAACAGCTCTCAAGGAACTGTTCCATTTTTATCATGCCGTTTCCTATCGTCATTACTTACAGTATAGTCACAAACTTGTGAATTACAGTCATGTTCAATATTGTAGCGTATATCTTAAAAGATAGTCTCGTTTTATTTCAAACTTTTGAGACTATCTTCCTGTGAATTTACGCTATTTTTAAGCATCTATGCTTCTACATGACCTGTCGTGTTCATTCAGTTTTTGTAAATGTGGTGCAATTTCTCAATAAAAAATTGCATTAAAATTGAATTGATAAGCATTTTTTATTACTCTTCACATCGTATGCGTCCATTAATTTATGGGATAAAATGATTGTAACAAATAGCTTTCCATAAAGTTGTGGCGCTACCAAGATTAAGGTGTTGAAATTGTGGATTATATTCATAAAACACTGATAATGAAGGGACACTGATAAATTTGTAATTTTCAAAACTAAATATGGTTCAATAAATTGTGACATAAGCCTAGGTTAGAAGTGGTTGTATTGCAATTTGTTCAAGAATACGAATAATGAATCTCTTGTGAAGCAGAATGAAAGTAAAGTTTGCTGTTGAGTTCTTCATTTTTGACTTCATTGTATTTAATTAGCATTCATTTCCTGCTTTCTTTTTCCCCATTTTCGCTTTTTTACTCTAAAATTTTTGAGCAGTTTAAAGGAAGAACACAAAAGATTGTTTTGTGGATTTATGGCAATTCTTCGTCAAATGGGGTACTTGTATTCATTTAGTGTCTAGTGTTAAAATTTATTTTCTCATATGTTGTTCAATTCACTGATTAAATTGCTAAGAATTGAACGTTACTTCACATTCCACAGAATGCACGGAACTATTTGGCAGTTTAGCTTCATTATCAATGGCAATAATAATTTGATTACAGATTTTTTCATCTTCGTAATAGTTTTGATTAATTCATATTTTGAAATTGGATTTATCGCTTTTTATGAATAATTGGGGTATTCAGTGATTGGAGGTTAATTAAAAGGATTGATGGAAATATATTTGATAAAGAGTACCAAGGTTGCAAAATTATGAAGGTGACTATTGTCATGAATAGTTTGATGGATGGTATTTGAGAAAGAATAATTCATTTGGGCAAAATTTAATTTGATTGATATTCTCAAGATATACTGAGGGACATTCATTAATAGTAAACTGCTTTTTGGCAAAATTCATGTATGAAATAATTAAGAAATTCTAAAATGGGAAAATGTATTGTTATTGTTTATTCATTTGCTTGCTCTAATTATTATGTATTCCATTATGAAGATTTGATAGTGCTTTATGAGATAATAAGATTAGTATGCGTTGTTTGTCTCATCAAGTCTCTATTTCAAACATGTGGAATTAGCGTCAATACAAATTTAAATACAAATAAGCAGTACTATTGACATATCCAGTTGTCTATTTTGCACAAAAATATAAATGACCCAACAAATTTTCTCTCGCACAAATATATACTCACGTACACAAATCCATGATAACAGTAACAGTAAATAAGGTACAGTTACACATTAACTTTGTTATATTATTTCAGATTCATTTTTCGTTCAATTTTTTAAGCTCATTTTGCGCCTAAAAATTGAAGATAAATTTGTTGGGTCATTTACATGCAATTAAAATAATTGAATCACATTTAAATTTCAATGAATATCCAGAGTTCATATACTATTACTGATTTTTTGATGACTACCAGCTCACAATTTTTTTATGTTTAATAACTGAAATCTAAAATTTGCTAAACTATTTACTCTTCATCATAAAATTTTAAATGTTTGAACCGTTTCTCAATTCAGTAGCACCATTAAATGCTTGCTGTACTACTATTATATTTGATCAAATCACATCAGTTATGGAGCTACAATATTAATTATAATCTTTAACTGGCAGCCATGTGCATAAGCATTTGTAAACTTGTTTCATTGTTCCATTTAGCAAACGCCTGATAAAATTTTTAAAATGTAGGAAGTGTTGCTTGTCTCATTAAATTTCTATTTCAAACACATTTATATTGTAAAAATTTTCCAATTAATATGAAAATTAGCACTGACTACATGAATGTATCAAACAAATACTTATTACAGGCAATTGATACAGAAAAAAAAAGCAAAAATTGACACAATGCAGAGAGAAAAGCATTTTTAGCTTTATATACTGGTATAAAATGGATCAAGACCGAAAATTGAAAGGAAAAAAAGCCATAAATGAAAATTAGTTATAGTTTAATGAAAAAAATACAAGTATTTGAAATTTTATTGTTAAATATGCATCAAATTTAGTGATAAACAAATTACCATATGTAACTGTCAAGTACAGTGCTGTAGCAACATAAGTTCAATTTTACATAAGTAGAAATTTTTAGAGAAAATAAGTTTTAACTTACTCATTTAAACAAAAACAGCATATCACTTAACTCAACAAAAAAAAAGGCATAAAAATGTGTTATTTTCATTTACACAACAAGGCATTATCTTTAGCGGTTGTGTTAATATGGAATCAACAATTCCATCTGAAGTAATTACGACTGACAGTTTTGGAGAAGCACCATATTCTGGTATCACAAGAATTCTAAAAGTATGTTATATTAGTCTAGTTTATTAGCTGTTTGTCTAATCTACACGTTAAAAGAGTCAAGCATGCATAATTTGCCCAGAATTATTAATGGATAAGGTCGAAAAAATGATAACATAGTGCTAAAAGCTCCGAAGATTTTGAAAAACGGTTACAAAGAAATAACAAATTCAAAATAATACAATTTGTTTGTTGCAAAGTTTACGGAATATTAAGGAAAAAGCACAATTAGAACGCTCGAAACCATCATATATTCATGAAATAGATGTTAACAAAGATAATCAGTTCCAGTGGGATGTGCTGATTTTACCGGTAAAAAGCTTATACTAGATGCACCACATTTATGCATTAAGACTATTCAACTTACACAGCTAATTATGCTTTTGTAAGGAAATGAGATGCTTCATATATTTGCAGAACCAGTATAAAGCCATGATGAACAGAAAGTTCTTGTCTTTGTAATTCTCTTTACTTTCCCTTTCTCTGATACGTTAACTTAAACATTCACATAACATTACAATCTACTAGCATAGAAAAAAACGCTAGTAAGTATACGAAAGAAAAATTGTACAATATACTACAATTTTAATTTAATTATACCACTGATTACAAAAATAATAACAGGCAAATTTAAGATAAAATCTTGCCTAATTTAGTTCAAAAATTTAATTCTAGCCCCGACCACCGTACAATGAAGGAATATTTCGATTGCGCATAATTTTTCCTTCTGATTATCCATTCAAACCGCCTTATGTACGCCTAGTTACTCCAATTTACCATCCAAACATCGATGAGAGAGGATACTCGTGCCTCGCAATCTTGCAGTTTGATAATTGGAAACCTGGAACAGATGTTGAAAGTAGTTCGTATTTCAGAGTGTATAAATTTTTTTATAAATAATCAACAATACTTCAAACGAATAAAAAATTACAATTTTAGATATTTCTTTGGTCAGTTAAAGACATTTGTAAAGTCAGAGTTAATTAAATAAATGTATGCAAATCTTTCAATTAGAACAAAAAGTAATTTTACTAATTTTATGCATAGTAATAAAATATATATGCATTGCTTTGACTATACAACTAACCACCAAAACATTAAAAAACTAATTAGTGATGTTTCAAGTAGAAAATACATTACATTTACAAGTCTTTTCAGTTGTACAAGCGTTTATATTCTTACTAAATGACCCGGAACCTGAACGCCCACTTCGTCATCAAATCGCTGAACAAATCTATAAGGTAAATATTCAGTACATAACCTATAACAAAACAGGAATGCTAATTTTTCTATCATATTTACCATTGTAACTATTCTCAATTCAATAAGAGTTTAATAGCATTTACTAATAAAAAGTTAATGCAAAAATTTTCTTGTTAATAACGCCAAAATGAAGACAAAAATGTTTTACAATGAAGTACGCTAGAATATTTGAGCTAAAAATTTTATGCAAATCAAAATAAATAGATAAGACATGAGAGATCTCAGATGAATGAATAATGTTAACATTTTAGAATAAGACAGAATTCATAAATGCAGCTATTGAGCATACCAAGAAGCATGCTGAAAAGAAACCAATGTAAAAAAGACGTCAGAATAAAAAAAGGTACTGGAAGACAAAATCTGCGAACGTCTGATCACCAATAGATATAAAAATTGAGTTGACATACGTTTTTGAATCAACAAAAACAAGGCCATGTTTCCTTCAAAGAGCGTAAACCATGTAATTTTCGACTCAATCTGATTTTTTGATTGTTTCACAATGTAGAAAAATAAATGAATCAAATCTTTATTACTCTGCATATTATAAAATATAGCATACACAAAGGCAAGCAAAATATCACTGTAGAATGGAAAATCTTATTCATATTCTTTACTAGTTCTATACAAATAAGATTCTATTAAAATGTAGACCAAAGACTTATTCTTACAATTTCGAGTTCAATAAATTCATACAAATGAAAAGATACAAATATCAAGTTCATCTTGAAAAGAAGATTGATTACTACAAATTAGAAGAATTGGAGATCAAATCCAATAGCACCTTAAAGTTCTCTTTATGAGTTTGTTGTCAGCCAACACAAGACAAATGCTTTTATTCGAAGTAATGACAACAAACTATCACTGAGACCTAAGAATTAAAAAAATTTTATGCAAATCAAGCATTAGCTGCATAGTGATCGTCATCTGAGGTGGCATAAATTAAACCTTCCGAAGCTAGATATTCCATATCAGCAGCAAAATTTGAAGGATCGAAAAGATTTCTTGGGATGCCCATACGAATGTTATCAATGCTGGCTCCAATTATTGGGTCACCATTTTTACGCAAATATTTAAATATCTGAAATTATGGAAAATAATAAAATTATTTAAAACTACAAAATCAATTTTCTAATTCAACGCAACCATGACATTATCGTAAACATACTTCAGCTTTTTGACCAGTCAATCCACGACAACTACTATCAGGAACCAAACGACTTGTACTGTGAGAAATTCCGGAACTTCCTGAAGCTCCAGAATTAGATTTTATAGAGCTGTTCCAATCACTAGGTTGATTTCCAGCATATCCTACAGCTTCTGTATTTATCCGCAACATTGTACCTTCAGATATGCTTGCCCATTTTTCTGTTAAAGCCAAATCTGGAACATCCTAAAACAACCTTGAAAACATTCATTAACAAAACTAGAAAAGATAAGAGCTCCTTGTCGCCTTTTTAATTACTGATTCTTGAAAAAGTAGAAAAATAAAGTCAAGATTTTTATGACCTATAAAGAAAATAAAACAGTAAAATAACCGTTATACCTTTGTGTAATAAAGTCGCGCCAATCGAGCTTCTAAATGAAAAGCGTCGAGTTCTCTTTTATCTTCTATTTCTCGTACCTAACAATTTACATTAGTTAAGAACACTCAAGTCCGGCATTACTTATTAATATAAATATGATAAGATTCCTTCTTAAATTTTAAGTCATTCTGGGAGTGAAAACTATAAAATTGACGGAGAAAAAAAAATAGATATTCAAAGAAATGAGAGTGAAAATTCCATACATGGAACTATACTTCGCTGAAAAATTGCTTACTTACATCAAAAGCAACGATACAAAGTCGCTCACTGAAACTTCGCATCTTTCCAACAACAGAAACATCGGTCCCTTCAACTATCGTATCAGAATTAGTCGCAGCGCTAGCTAGCTAAAGTATGTTAAATTGATATAATTTTTTAGAATTCTGCGCAATTTTAACGGGTGAATCAGCTAAACCGATAATCCAAATCATCTAAATTGATAATCAAAATCAGAATTATTTACCAAATTTTTCACAAAAGGTTTACGAATTTCGAAAATTAATTTTTTAGAACAACCTCTGATACATGAATGTAAAAAACCTAGTAAAATATAAGAAATTACCACGCCTTTATAGTGAATGACAAGAAATGTAGCATTTGGATCATGATAATCAGCTAGAATATACTCGACAGATTGCCCCCCATCTGTTTGTAATGATGATTTTACACGACCAACAACACGAATCTTCAAATAACACGAGTAAAAAATCTGCTGAGAAATAAATACTAGGTCCGTCAAAAAAGTGATGATAGCTTTTTAACAAGGTTAACAGTAATGATACTGTTTAAATCTAAACTGATCCAATCAGATATATATTTCAATAATTATAAACCACAATTAAAACGTCGCCACACTTGCTTAAATTCAAATACTATTACAACGGTAAGAAAATTAAAACTGTACATCCAACTACTCTAAAACAAAATCTGTGTATATTTACTTAAAATCCTATCAGAAAGGATGATTTTTGAATACGATGATGATGGCATGTCATAAAAAAATAATGAATGGTATTAGCTGCATCACAGCTGTAACAATAACTTCAAAAATACATAAATAAATTAGATGCTAAATGCAGTAAAAAAATAATGATTACGTAGAAGGTGTAAACTTATGGTTTAATGGCCTTTTTCATCAGAATTTTTCGAAATTTATTCTGGATAAATTTCGAATTTAACTCTGTTGTACTATCAAATTTTAAAACAGAAAAACTGAAGAAATGATAACTTGTTCATTATACAAATCTAATCTATCACTTTTAGAAGATATTACGTGACTTGCTCATAACTAACTGAAAAGTTACCGTCGTGAAAGTATATTTTCCCGCTGTTATTTTTTCTTCATTGTTTGCCAACTGACTGAGATCTCTGACAGTAGCAGGAAAAGGCACTTTTTCAACACGTTGATTTCCTCTGGTTTCATTAGGCTCCACGAAAGATGTTTCTCCCCAACCACCAGCTAATTCAGCATCAAAACTTTCATCGCCCCATCCATTTCCATCCATTTTTAGCGCACAAGCTTTCCTTTCGTGAATAAATACTATATATTACATACATAACTGAAGTAAGATAAGATTCCAAAAGAATAAACGCAGTTCTATTCCCTCACTACATAAGAAAAGCTTCAAGTTTTAAGTCACTAAAGTTTAATTTCATACTCAATTAAAAGAATACAAAGACAAAACTTATTGCAATGAATAAAAGTCGTTAATAGAAAAAAAAGAAAATCATAAAATACTAAAGTCGAAAAAAAGGAATGGCAAAAACACCTTTTGCTGTACTGCTTATAGAATAATAATTTTATTAAAATTAACAGTCTTAAGACTAGATTACTACTCAGCAATCAATATTTTGTGAGCACATTTATTCAATTCCCACAGCGAAACATATTTTTCTAATATGAAACTACACCAACCTATTACATATCACATATCACACAAGTCATACTTATTACAGAAGTAAAAAAATGTACCTTCGTCCCTTAGACACATTCCGCAGACAACTTACAACCTAAATAGAACAATTACGAATGCAATAAAAGCCATGCAATAAAATTTCACTTCAACAAATTCGCGCTTTCATCAAATCTACTAATGCTTAGTATTCCGCATAAAAATTACAATTAGTTTAGCAGCGCAAAAATATTTATTAAAGTTCATGCACAATAATAAATGTAAAGTTTGAGTAAATATGGCAGGAAGTAGTTCGCATGTTTGAATTTCTTTAGTAGCACTGTATAAAGATGTAATGAATCATTTTTACAAAGTTGCATCTCAGTTTTCGTGATAAATTTTGGAAATTCAGTTACTTCGGGAACGTGTAATTAAGAACGAAAGATTAAATGCATTGTTCACGTTTGCGTGCTTTACGATGGAGAAATATGCTGTCGAAATTGACTTCAACACAAAAATCAGTCAAGCAAGAGAAACAGTTAGAAGTAACTGGAGATACTGCAATTACCGAAGAAGCTGAGGTTACCATTTTTGATTGCATAAAGGCACGTTGTATGAAGAAACGTGTAGACAGAAATTAAATGAGATTGAAACTTTTGGTGTCATTTAGAAGTCATTGAGATAAAGATGTCATTGAACAGTCAGTTGTAAATTTCGAAATTTTTTCCTTATTAGTTTAATTTCTTGAATATTATTTGATTCTTTGGTTGACCACACATTATATTTCGTGTGTGTTACAGTAGATTTACGTTTAGTTATACTTTTTTCTTCACTTATTGAATGCATTTGCATTTACACGAAGTACCTTCAAATATCTAAAATTAAGTTCCCAGATGTATGCATTTGTTGAAAATTCAGCGCTGAACTGCACTGTTTTGGTTTGCATTCAAGTACTAGATGATCTATAAGGAGTATAAATTGCTGAAATTATAATTTTGAGGTTTTTTCAAGATTTACTTCATTCCTTTCAATAGTTACTTATTCATAGTTCTGTATTTAGGTTCATTTATTGCTATATAGGATTTGAATTGCTTTAATTTAAATTTATCATGTACAGAATGGTGAAGGATCAAGTACTAACATTTTGAAAATGTAAGAAATCATGAGCCGTTTGTATTATTTTTCTTCAATTTGTGCATTTTTCTAGGCTGTATCCAAGAAAATTCTAAAATCTTTAAAATCTGGTGATAAAGCTCAAATATACAATGGATCAGAAAATGATGAATTCTCGGATGTAACGTCAACAGATGAAATCGATATCGATTCTATTCGTGCTAGAGGGTTTGCTACAAATTAGCTTTTATAAAAGTAATACATCTAAGTAATGAGTAGTGAAATAAGTGCAACTTGTGATTTGCTCTTTAAAAGCTGTAGAAAACAGTCATAAATTTCTTGAAAAACGTGGTTTTTTGCATTACTATTTTTAGAAGTGAATAAATCTGAATTTAATGTGTCTTTCATGATTATTTATGTTACTTGTTTTTTATTTCGCTTAAATAACGATATTATTTGTCATTGTTTTTGTTTACATTAGTTCTTTATCATCTTCATTTAATTCTTTTTCAACTTATATTAGGTTTTTAAAATATCGGTACAACTATACTCCACCAGCTGATCTCGAAATTCAAGTAAAGAATACTTTGGATGAGGTTTTATTTCATTCAAATGATGATATACGAAGTATTGATCTTACTCGAAATCGTCAGTTAAAGTTTCAAGTCCGTTGTAATATTATTAATTCTTTATTTTTTGATTATGTTGTCAGTAATCTAGAATGGTACTTCCTAGCATAAATGGTTTGTAAAATGTGATTTTCTGTGATTTATTTCAGCTGCTTAGTTTGCTAGGAGAAAGATTATGTCATGTAGTTCCTAATTCCGAATTGCACTCTATTAAAACAGTCGGTGATTTGATTGATTTTTACGGTCGTCCATTTCGAAATCTCACTAAATACGCACAGATGGCTCGAGACAACAAACGGACATTACCAAAAAATTTGCACATTATAGAGCATCCATTCCGTTTTCACCCAGAAGATATTCACTCTTACCACGGGGGTTGGCATCTTTTCGCTTCTATTTTTGTAAATGCATGATTTAGCGTTAATTTCAAGTTTTGTATGAATTATTAGTTGGTGATGTAGTTCTTTACAGCATAAAAGAGCTCAGAAATTTAGTTGAAAATGAACGAGACTTACTGTTGGCTGTGAACAAAAGTCCTTTCAAGTGGAAACTGTAAATGCTTTAGATGTTTCTAAATATATAAATTATGTGTTTTGTTTCGGAAATTTAATTAGAATATATTAAATATACCACGTTTCTACTAATGCGATCAGTAGATTAGTAATATTTTTGTTTTATGCATCATCCAAAAATGTTTTCAGCGTTTTACACATTTTGAAAAAATGCTAAAAAACTATTCTACATATTTAATATTACGTTATGCATATTTAATCATAGTATATTATCAGATAATTATGTTGTACGTACAAATTGTAGGTGAGACAGCTTTCCCCGGTAAAGGCGGTGAAGTGATCAGTTTGCGGAATAAAAGATTGTATCGTCAATTTAAACCAAAAGAGCATTGGTTCGATTACGAAGAAGAAACATTTGATTATGAGCGTCCAGATAAAGGAATGCCATGGGACCCAGAAATTGCAGAACGTATGGATCAATACCCAACTAAGAGGTATAATTTGAAGGCAAAGGGGTTCAGAAGAACTTGACTGTAAAGCTCTAGCTTTTTTGAATTTATTTTCAACCTTGGTCATGTTTTTATACCAGTACAATTTCAATAATTCGCATGAGCGTCATGTTTATCAAAACTCTATTACATTTAAATAAGTTGAAGCTCAGCAAAAACTGATTTACGGGATAGACCTGTATTTATTTTTTTTTCTCCAGTTGTTTTAGATTAATCTGTATAGTGCTTACTAGTCAAAGATTTTCTTATTTACTGAATTTCCTGATCAGTAATTTTGAACTAAATTGATATTGTTGAAAGCAAACCGCTGTTTTCTTGCATTTTGAGAAGAAAATAATCACTTGTAAATTTGGCCTCTTTTTTTTAATTCCATCATAGAATAATTCAGATAAAACTACTTTGTTTTGTTATTTGTTTTAGAAGGAACACTGCATATATCTCTTCCATTTTCCCATTGTTATGTAAGAGTGATGTTCTCAGTTATATTTTTACTATTCTCGATCTCAAATTCACATGACTGAAATATGCAGTAAAGAGCAGTTCAGACCAATAGCAGTACTTTTCTGTCTCTTTCAATAAAGCACAAAGTTGGCGCCAGTTTTCATACAGGCAATGGCCATATAAAATAGCACTTTTTAAAGGATTATTTTTATCAGTCTATTAGGCCTTCAATTGTATTAATTTCCTTCATCAATTCATTCAGAGGTTCCAGCATGCAAGTCAGTAGCTTTGTCAGGGGCTAATGTTTCATCAGCAGTGCTAACATTTGCTTGTCTTTGCGTCAGGCGACTGTTTTTCCAATCGCTTCGTATACGCCATATGTCAAAAAAGAATTCTTCCGGGAAATTGAAATCATTCACATCTGACTGAAATATAAAATTAATTTGCTCAGTGCAATTCTGAAGAAATTTTGCAACTGTCACTTCTGGAGATGACTCAGTATATATTTAAATAAAGTGATAATAAAACTAGAAAGCAATTTCATTTAATCAAAATTAGGCTGTGGAGAATTTTTAACACCTTTTGTAGCACACTCTTGAAGTGAGTAAAATTGGTGGAGGATGCAACGAGCTCCCATATTGTGTTTGCAAAATCATCATCATGAAAACCAAAGTATGAGTCGATTATATTGTTTACTTCATTAATAATCTCCTCATTTATCGATCCCTAAACAGACTCATGTAATGCATGACGAAGCAACAATGAGTCAAAGCAGACGACAGAATTTTTCTAAAGTGATGCAGGAGAAAATGCTGCACCAATTTTGGCATCAAATTATGTGAGAATCGATATAACAGTAATTACCTCCTGCACAAGCACTGTTCCATCAGATTTAAAACGAATTGTATCTTTCCGTTTCGTAAACGTTGGAAAAGGGTTTCGTCTTCTATAAGAGGTCAAGAAGCTGAATCCCGTTCGCTTCGGTTCAACTACTCTCATGGTGAATCTAAAACTGACTCATCCTGAAAGTCGACCTTCTCTTCTACTAGATTTGTCAGCAATGGGAGACCTTTTTTTTTCCTTCAAATTCTCAACAAATGCTATATTCCAGAAGAGATATTAGAGTAAGCGAACTGACGTTGAACCAACAGGTAGTGATCGTAAATATCGCGCAACATCGAAGTGTCGTCGACCAACCATACTATCGTCATTGACTTTTTCAATAAAATCACCAACCTATAAGTTGTATCAGTATTACTACAACCTCATTATTAAAGTCAAAAGTTAAGTTAGAATGTACATGCTACCTGAAGGGCAGGGTTTGCGTCAGAAGTAACTGTGCCAGGGACGATTCGCTTGATGAATGCTTTCCCGATGCCATTGTCAGCGATAGTCAAGCCGAGCGCTCTGAAAGTATGTCTGTATCTGATTTCTGTGCAATCACTGTTTGTGAGTGAAACTGCATTTTTACTTAAACGTACGGATTGGTTTTGACCAATGTGACTTCTTTTTTTTGGCCTGCGATATGCGCGAAAATAAGATCATCGTTACTAATGTTCGAGCTCATAAGGGCATCCATACACACTCGATGTGTATTCACCGTACAGAACAAGATATCATCTACTGTTATCTCGTCGTAGCAATCTGCTATTAGCTGCAAATCTCACATATAGTAAAAATTGCTATTGAAAAATCTCATTTGTCAGGTGTTATTAACTGACTTGAGCAATCATCGCATAGATCACTTATCAGAAACTTTTCAGAAAAATTTACGTTTACGTCGCAGTTTTTGATGGAATGAATTCACGTGCAAGCACGCACTTCATAAGGTAAGGAAGGGGCACCTCGTACAGTTGCATAATATTGGTGAACCCATAGATGATGCCAGTCGGACTGCCATGAGCCAACTGCACCTGGAACTTGAGATTGTGTCCCTTGTGAGGCAGCGATGTGATCACACGATGCTCGTGTACAGTTCCATCTGCTAATGTCTCCAAAGTATTTCTGTCGTTCTGTTCTTGCTTTTCTTCTTCCTCTTTATGGGACGATTCTATAAAACCGCATAGTCAAGTTGATCAACTGATTGACACAGTGATAAGCAGAGGATTTTACTGGTCATTTTATTTTGGAGAGAAAGCGGGAATCAGTACTGCTGAAAAGTGCCGAGGAAGCAATGATTTCTCATTCAAATTCTTCACCAGTCAACATGACAAATGCCTCGTCCGCATTATCGACTGCCACTGATGTACAGGGCCGTGGAGCTTTGTTATAAGCACGCGACTGACGACCTCGCCGCATGTGTCGACCGCGCCTCCATTTTCCACGATATGGTCTGTTCTGGGAACTCGAATATTCATGCTTTAGATTCTGGTCTTGACGATGTGACGAACGTGAATTCTGAGGTGTAACATCTCCGTTCACATTCTGTTGTAACTGTCTGCAAAGCATATGGTAATTGTGAGGAACCGTATAATCAGTGCTCACAAAACTAGGCTAAATGCATACACGACTGCTTACTGTCAAACAAATAACGCAGAAAAAACGGAACAACAGAAATGTTTGAGTACGCGAGCTAATCCGTTCGGAAAAAAATTGCAGTACAAATATTTCCCACGAAAACTTACTGCAAATCCTCAGTACCCCTTTCATAACCTGTACCAGGGGACTGTTTAACGGTACTGGAAGTACCACTGACACTGGCAATGCTGTCAACGTCGGCCTGAACAGCGACTGGTGGAAAATCCCTCTTAAAAACACTACCTTTGCGACTAGGCCTGCGATTAACTCTTCTATTAGTAGACCTCATAACTAGCAATAATAAGTAAGTAAAGATGACGGAAATCGGTCAGGCTACATACTTAAGGCCTTACTTTTCATGTTATACGTGCAGATTTGCATAAATAAGTTTTCTTTGCATACGCAAATGAAGAGCAAAATGTCAGTCAGTCAAATTTTTGCTGTTGTGGTAAGCTGTATGTATATATAAATCTTCATTATGATCTAGAGTATGTGTCCCATTCACTTATGCATTCACTTTATACGACCTCTTTTAAAAGAGATGATTTAGTGGAGTTGAGCAAGATCGGTCGTTGCGAAGAATCGTATTTTCAACGCCGAGTCATTTTCTATCGATCTTTTTCCAACTGAATGGTACTGTGATGGAGCAGAGAATTTCACTGATTATTTTATTTATGAGATGAGACGGAAATTGTCAGTACTGCTGAAGAATGCCGAAGAAGCGATTACTTCTTATTCAAATTTCTTTCCAGTCCACATAACGCGTCTCATCCGCATTACTGGAAAATGACCAACAAAAAGCACTCAAAAACAAGGCTGTTTTACTCTCGAAAAGAAAATACTATGAAATTTCAGAAAAATTTGACAACCTTCACTTTGTCTTACGTATTTCAGTAAGAACATAATAATTAATGTGCACATTTCATGAAAATAAGCATTGCTACACGTTATTATCAACGATAATATCAAGTAAAACAAAGGCTCCACAATTATGTATCTTTAACAGTCAAAATTATTTGTGAGTTTTAGGATGTAATATAGGAGAGCTGCGCATCTTTCCAACAATAAAAACAATAGTAATAATTCGAGTTCAAATCTGGATTCGAAATTATCACTAATTGATATTTCTAAACCATGAACAATACCGAAATTGTAATTATATAGGACTTATTTAGCAGGAAGGGAATCAAAAAATGGAAATTTGAAAACCCCTTAGCCGTAAAACATGCAAGGCCATCATCCCTTTCTCTTTTAGCTTTTGAGGCATAGCTACCTATTTTTACTTTCATTTTCTTCCGTTTTTCTTTTCTGTTATCCCTTTTTCGTAGTACTATTTCTGCATATATTTGTTATTGTTACCAGCCGTTTTGCAACCACTTTTTCTCTTTGCCTTTCAGCAAATTCTGAAAAATTACCTTACAGTTTGGTAGGTCACGTGAATACCACTATTTTGTAGTTAAGAAAGCAAATTTTTGAACGTCATCATACCAGAACCAAGTGAGATGATTTAAAAATTCTAACTGCCCACGTCATTCCAGCACATTAAAGAATCTCCATCAATCTGTTTCATTTTCTCCCTTATATTCTGTTACTCCTTGAAACTTTTTTCTTTTGACTTTCGATTCGTCATTTAATTTTTTGTTACCTTTTATTAAATATCAAGTCAAATCTTTTAATCCCTTCTACTAATTTTTTTACTCACTTTTTCGAATGAATTTTCTACTTTTACTTTCTTATCAATTCTTCTCCACTCTCTTCCCTTTCTTTTTCTTGAATTTTCTACCAATTTCCTAAAATTAAGCTTCTAGAATTTTTCGTCTAAGAACCAATTGTGTCTCATAAGTGCTATAATTTAACTCAATTTCGATGTAGGCGCGGTTTCTGTAAGCATATTATGAAACTAAAGGAGCCTAAGTTCATTTCTTTGCTTAACATTATGAAGCCCACATCCTAGCTCATTCCTGCCCAGTTACAGTCTCTCTAAACGAGCCCATTAACGTAAATTCCGTATCGATCTAGTAAATGCCTGACATAATGGTCTATAGATTTAAAATTAACGAGATTTATTTGAACATTCCCCCACAATAGTTCAGCATTTACGGCCACGATAAAGGTCTTGCCATATAAAGTAATATAGGCTAACCTGACTCTATCTCAGCTTTCCTTTGTATCTGCGCTGCTGCTATCTTACACCTGAACTCTCTCTAAGAATACTGTGCCGATAACATAGAACTGCGTGAAATAGAGCTCGCATAGTTCTGCTTCAATATATGTTGATGTGCTTTGCTCTTTCAGTAACTCCAACTGCAACCGTCAAGCTCAGTTCTTTATTTAATCTATCACATTGGCAGTAGATTAATGAATGCTTTTCTCTCCCCTTTTTCTTGAAGACGAACCTATTACTTCGCGCCAGACATTCGAAATTCCGACATATTTATGACCATCGAATATCGACAAAAAAGAATTACATCAAAAAAGCAAAGATACCACAGTCTTTGCAGCTACATACTAAGATGTGTAGTCCAGAGCCACGATCTTTTAATTATCAGTTTTTTTTAATCCCTTTCTAGCATTTTCTTTTGGGGTGCGGCTCAGCCTTTATTTTCCGCGTACTCTTTTTTTTTACATTTTTATGTCCCATCACAACAAAAAGTCGTAAAACTTAATGTTGTCGGAGAAAAAATGTATGCAATCCTAACAAAAATTAAAGCAACATTGGTCTTAGAACATTACACCGCAAAATTATAACATCATAGGCAAGGAAATAAACAAACATTACCTAGTAGTTACAACCAAATTTTAATAATATCACAAAAATATTAACAAGCACAGAATGGGAGAGCTCACTTATGCATTTTTTTTACTATTCCTTCACGTTTATGAATTACTTTCATCAGTTTAAATCGATTAAGAAATTTACAGGACAGTAAATAACATATGTGATAATAATTGCTCAGTAAGAACAAAAAATAATTATCAAAGAATTCGATTGTGACATTAAATTCTTTGTATAGGAAAGTGATTGAAAACGATTACATTAGCAGCTTCAGATTCACGAGAAGTCCTCTGGTATGCTTTCTTTTTCCATCACAATTGTCCGTATGTTTTGAGCTGTATAGTAGCTGACAATGTGTAATTTGTATATTACATTTCTTTCATTTCGTTCAAAGAATATGTGTACAATTAATAAGCACAAGATCATACATTTAAATCAAATTAATCGTTCATAAAAATCGTACATTTTCTGTCAGTTTAATGCACTGAGATGAATAACAGCCGAAATCTATCAGCTGCAGATGGAGCAACTATAATTACATTGTTAACACCGTTTAAAGTATTGACTAAATAACATCAGTAGACATCTCATTTACCCTTTCATTTTTGCCAAAAAGCTTAAGCCCAGCACGAATCATTTGGGCGACTTCTCGAACAGAACCATAAATGTTTGTTCTTTCACGTTTCAACCTCAAAGTTTTACAGTGTCCATTGTTGAATTTGGTCTGCTGCTTATATCACAGTTTTGAGTTACTTAATAAATAACTTTGTATCATAAAGCTGTAGGGTGCACTGAATCTTTTATGCAAATCGTAATACTTATTTAACATTCGTGTAAACGAAACTGCATAAAATCTATACAGAAAACTTGCTGAACAATGACGATAGATTGCATTGCTTTCAAAAAAAATTGTAAACAATTTGATTTGGGAAATAGTTGCTTGATTTCTTACTTTGTTTTTAGACAGAATGTTAAATGAAACATATGGTAATTATGCGCTCAGCTCCACTGCCGAAACAATATGGTTGTGCCACAAAAAAACAGCTACTTGAAAAGAGAGATTAACAACTGAAACTTGATTTGAAACAGTAATAATTTGTCACTAGCCTGCACATATAAGATGATTACTAGGCTGACGCATAAAATAAATTAACTTTGAAGAACAAATAGGCCAACGCTTGGAATTCATTTTAGCAATCTGTAGTATTCCAATAATTATTTAAGTTAAGATATATATATCTTTAATACAACAATAAATACAATTTATAATATCACTGGCATTCCAATTTGACTAACTTTTCTTTATAACATTTACATTCAGATAAGAAACTTTTATTAAAAATTAGTCAGAATCCATTTGAAATTCTTTGAGTGAATATTATTGGAAAATGTCTTCTTTTTTTCAGACTGTAAGAAAATTTTTGAATGTTTTCGTTTTTATCATCCCTCATGTGTAATTACTTTAAGTCCCAAATTGAAAACAATGATGCATCAGTATGAACCATTACAGAAACTGTTATTAAAGTTTTATGTCATTAAAGTTTTATCAAACTATGCGTGCAATAGTATGATAAAACTTGATGTCGCTTGTGCTATGAAAGAAAAGCTAGAAAATAAAAATTCTGGTAAATTTATCGTATATACTGACTGTTCATACTGGAACATGCAATATTTTTCTACCACAAAACATTAACTTATGTATCGAATTCATATCCTGTATACAGATAGTTAATGTTAAGAATTATGCTCGCAAAAGATTTTAAAGTTCGTTTCTGCAAAGGTATCATACCAAAAACAACTGGTAAAATGATTAGTCCAACAAGTCAACTTTTACAGACACTTTTACCATTTATTTCAAAAATTTCTGAAATAAATCATATTTTGTGAACATCAACTTAAACCCGCAGATTTTTGTTCATTCTTTTCGGTTTTCATGGTTGTGATAGGTAGTGGCAGTGATGAAGAAGCTGTGATAGCTATAGTGGGAACGGATATCCGTATTGTATGATTCTGTAAAATAAACTCTAAAAAGACAGGAGATTTCAAAATTAATCACAGAAAGATTAGCTGAAATAAATTCGTCAAATTCAAATTTTTGGAGCCTTTATCAGAATCGAAATAGAAAAATAATTTTTATAAAATCTGCAGTGGAATACAGAAGTTTTCAAGAGTTAAGTAGTAATGTCAAAATATTCTTTTTGTAAAATATATCAGTACAATGAATTTATTTTTGTCGTACATCTTACCATTTGAAAGGGTTAAGGGAAAATTTCGATCTAAGTTTTGATCTGCATTTGTATTTTTCTCTTTGGGTTTTTTCTTCATACTTGCTTAGTCCAATATATGCTGATATCTAATTATATTAAAAATACAAATAGAGTAGTATAAAATTTTTGAATTCTTAATACCTTGTTATTAACATCCGAAACCGTTCGTTTCTGCAGAGGTATCATGCCAAAAACAACTGGTAAAATGATTAGCCCATGCAGAAGTCCTAGCGTGACAACAAGTATTACAACTTTCACAAATACTTTCACCATATAAGCTTGAATCACTCCGAGAACGCATAAACTTAATATGGTTGATATACCCGCTTGTGTCATGGGCCATGCAATCGACGCGAAAGCATATTTCAAGCGTTCACGTTTGTCCTGAACTATTATATTGTGATAATGCTACAATTTTTATATGATTGAAAATTGACAGACTTTTTTATCACTACTCTTTGATTTGCAAATCAAGAAATCAATTGTTCTTTCTTCTGATTGTTTATTAATGGTACTTTCTGTTTATCAGTAGTAGTTAATTTGCAAATGTCTTCTTCAAGCTGTTATTTTATTTATAACTGAAGTCAGACGAAAGTTTTTTATTGTCATGAAAATCATAACAGGCAAAGAAGTCGTTTTTTGATAGTTATCTTAAACTACCCCACGTTTAGTGTTTCCATTTCTTTGGGAATGGTAAATATTGAAAAAACTTGTTTTTATTGTTTTATTAAAATGAACATACTCTTGTTTGTCCTTTGTAATAGTGAAACGTAATATGAGCAATGAAATCTACTGAAAAACCAATAGCCATCAATATGGTAGCCATTGAAATTGGATCAAGATTAACATCCCAATAAGGCAATGATCCGAGAACTCCCAGATTGATTGAGATTATTGAAAGAGTAGATGAAATTATTGTTGTTAAACTAGGTGTAAAAATAAGCAACACAATTGCCATTGCAACAAATGCGAAAATTACAGTAGATTTTGTTACTGGTACTATTATAAGTACCTGAAATTTGCACATTAAAAAAAATGTTATATGAAACTTAAAGTCAGGACTTATTAGTGATTAAAATTATATAAGCTCTATTTCATAGCAAAACAAACCAAAGTATGTAAATTTTTTTTTACAAATAACACCATTTCCATTTTCTAATACCTTGTATCATATTAAATTTAGGTCACAATATAGATCACTTTCTACCATTTTCATTAAAAAAACCTTATAACATTGAATTTTCGATTACAGAAATGATTAGACTATAATTGTTAAATATTAAATACCTACCTGATCAGCATACATACTGAAAGCTTCAAAAATTGTGACATTGAGTTCAGGATATTGTGCTGCTATGCCTCTCCATTCTTGAAGCAATTGCAAACGTTGCGACCATTCTACAGCATTCCGAAATCCAGTTGAAAAGAAAAACTTTTGCAAACAACTCGGTTTCTCATTAATACAATCTCTATAAGTTGAGTAATAATCAAACAAATTCGGACAAGAAATGAACGGAAGAAAATTCGCAGGATTTGTTAAAAGTAGATTACTTTATTTACCTTCGATTAATTCAAAAATATTAGAAAAGAAAAAAACACACAATCACTTCAATAATTCTGTCATATCTTGCTGATGACATCGTTAATTAAAAGTTGTTTTTTGAATGGCACTTTTAGTATATGAGTAAATTTGATTTGCAGATTACTCAAGTTTACTATAATAATGAAGTAAAATTTACTCAGGTGATCCAAGATTAACAAAGTGACTCCAGCGATGATATTCCCGAAGTTTCATAAATTCTGGCAGATATTTATATTTAAACCCGATCTCACCACGTTCCTATTATAATTTCAAGATTTCAATGTTATTTCTTGTCTTTTTTGCAAATAAAAAAAACGTTGAAAATTATTTCTTCAGAGTTATTGATGATTTAATGATTATGATTTTTCATTATCTGAGGACTTTCGAAGACAAATTTTTGCAGTGAAAAAGTAAATCAGTACTCGTGATTTGAGAAGATATAATGCGTAAAAGTTAAAATGACACTAATTTAATTTAAAAAAATCATATATTTTGTTGAGATGCAACCGATAATGAGTACACCCATTTACTTGAATAAAAAAAACATAAAAAATTTATCTGGGCTAAATTACTTGTATTCCAATGTAAGAAAGATATGGTATAAACCATAAATGAGTACTCTCATCACCGATACTTCCTGTTGCATGCTCGAAATGTTTGACTAGTCGCATTATTCTTGGAATCATTTGAGGTTTTCTGAGATCACCAGGGTTATTCACAAATATAGTAACCTACAAAAAATGAAACAATGTTTAATTGTGGTAAACAATGTTTTTACCCCTTATAAAGCTTGTTAGTTTCATTATTTATTATTTTTTCACCAAGCATTAATCTTTCAATTTAAAAATTTAAATATGTGTCAAATTGATCACTTTTCTAATTAGTTACGTATTTGCCTTTGTTAACTGTATTGAAGAGATTTTGAAAGTTTGTAGCTACAAATAGATTAAGAGATGAAGGCAAAAATTGCATATGATATAAATTTCCTTTTTCGTAAGAGTAATTTTAAAGTAATCACTGGAAAATTTTATTTAAAAAAAGAGATAAAAACGTCAAATTGATGGAATTTATATTATTTAGAAATTATTTCACAAAGTCCTAAAACCTTGTTGCAAATTTTTTGCTCCTAAATATTAAACATTGTACGTAAGTTATCCCTCAAATAAAAAACGAGAGAAATCACCTGACCGCCTTCCTTGAATATGATTTCCGTTTGCAGTTTGACGAATGGTAGTAGTGGTGAGTCATATGGAAATAATTTTTCAGATGATAGTCCGACCTGAGGATAAAATTAATGAAGGACAATTTTTCCAGAATCTTTTAAGTATTTATCGAAGCAATTTTTGAAAACAAATAAACATATAAACTTTTGCAGGAAATAAAAGAAAGGTATCAATAAAATGAAAAAATAAAAATTATTCTATCAAAAGTATGGTCAAAAGTTATACTTTAGTGCGTGTAACTCCACGTATAGTTATTATCCAATAGAATATCATAAGGCATATTACAGTAATGCGTGTTATATTACTCATAGCCATGTTTACCCACAAATTCATCAAATTATCAGTAAATTCATCAAGTGTTTTGAAAATATTTGCCTGAGTGCTAACGATTCTCTGAAAATTTATCAAAAATATTCTTTTTACTCTTTTTATAATTGTGTGCAATCAACCTTTAATGATTGGAATTTTTCAAATAATTACAACAATTAAAAATTAACGTAATGTCAAAACACTAATGATATGTTTTTTATAGTTGGGAAAAAAATTTGTTTGCTGAATCGTCATTGTGTTTTTAATGAATTTTTTGACATCACAAACAAAAAAAAGTTCCACAGATACAAATGCTGTCATAGTTGTTATATAATTAATTGTCTGACAAATTTACTTTTCATATTATATCTTAAGACTTATGATTAAATCATAATTGCAAGAAGTATTATGGCATTATTTTTGGGAATTTGTTTAAAAATAGCCATAGCGTAACAATTATAGTACTGTTTTGTACTTATAATGATCAAGAAGAATTGCTGCAAATAATGTATCAATTTCAATACTTCCTTACATGGAAACAAAAGAGAAACCTAAAACTGAAATGATTATAAATTATTTAATAACAATTACAATACCATTAAAGTCATAAATTACTAATAATACCATATTTTTCGAAAAAAAGCAGATCAGTAACCTTTTCAACATCCGAAATTGATATACACGGAATAACTGCATGCAAACGTTTTTTTTCGCGGCGTGCAGCAAATGTTAAAATTGCAGAATAAAGAAAAATTTGATAAACATAATCAAATACTACAGTGATGCTGATATAAATGCTAAATGTCTGGAATAATAAGTATTATAAAAGTTTAAACTTTTCATAATTACTTATACCACTGAAATATGGATATATAAAAGTCGGATTAAATACGTCTTGCATGATTTATTTGGTTATTAATTACCGCAAGAGTTCTTATTAACATGTTTATTATTTGCAAACTTTTTCTAAAAAAAATTCTCTATTCAAAGAAATGAAAAAAGTTGAAAGAGGTAAAATTTCATCGTGATAACCTTCAGTTATACGGAATAGAATTAACAAATTAAAAGTTTGAAAAGTACCTGTATTGCAGGTGTTGGTGTTAAAGCACTGATTGCAAAAGAAATAAAGTTAGTAAGTGAAGTAATGGTGATAGAAGGTCCAGCTTCTGCTAGCATTTTACCAATTCGCTCTTCTACAGGTAAGCGTTGATCTGTGTGGTGATAACAGTGCAGAAAGATAAATACGTCATCCACGCCAATGGCTAATACAAGAAATGGTACTACACAAACTATTGGAAGAAATACCACATTGCACTAAAATTTACAATATTTTTACATAGTTAATGATCAAAAATTAGCAAGAAGGTATAGAATTAGTTTTAGATTGCCAAAAAGTAAACTAATTTATTGAAAAAGTAAGATGACAACATGTTGAAAATGAATCAATCTTTTTTTTAGATTTGAAAGTATACATATTTGAACTAAATAATTTTCGTCTTTAATTACTTTTTACTTTTACTTTCAACATATTTTTTGCTTTTAGGACATAGTTATTATCATGATTGAGCAATCTGATTAACTACAAACAGTAATGAGATCAGCGGAACTTTGATCACAAGCAGAAAACATACATAATTTCATATATTATTAACGTGTATATATGATATGACCGTTGTTATTACGTCAATGTCAAGTGATTCAATATGCAGCAATAAATAATTAAATTGGTTTGATAACTAAATTTTTTTACTTCAAGTGCAAACAAAACCATAACAGTTGACTGACTGATTAATTATTTGTGAAATAAATTTGGAACTCAACACTATTCAGAATCATTTAACTGTGGTTTGTAGTACTGTAATCAATGTTAAAAACGAAAATTATTATCGATTGTAACAAAAAAGCTTATTGAATTTGAAAGATCTGTCGCTTCATTCAAAAGAATTTTAACTGTACGATCGGTATGTAAAACTTGCAAACCCAAAATAGAAATCCAAACGATGCGATGAGCGATAGTATGGGACAGAAAACGCCAAATGCAGCTTCCCAAGGTTTACTAGCTGCTGGGTCACGTTTGAAAGAAGTTGCTACGGTAAATATTAAAACTACCAAAAAAGAAACAGTGATCAGAGGTAATGCTTCTACACCTTAAATACGAAGATTTTTTGTGTTGGGATGAAGCTAAAATTTTAGAATCACTAATTTTAATCATTTCTTGTAGAAAAATTTACTAATAAAAGTACTAAAATAAAAGGAGACTATGTGTTACTTAGTTAAGTCTCGAATTCGTCTAAGAATGCAGTGTTAAAGTTAATTTTTTAAAACTTCTCTTTTTTAAAATTCTAAACTAAAGTTTTTATTATAAAAATTTCTACTTTTAAATAAAAACTTTGGTAAGCTTATTGGTATGCAAACCTGTTCTACGAACTTCTTTGCTCACTAAACCTTCGGATGTTGCAAAAACTCGAATTAAAGAATTGTTTTTGGTTGCTTCGGAAAATTTGAACACTTCATATTCCCAAAGCTTCATTATCTCTTCTACAGTAGAATTTTGCTGAATGGCTTGAAAGTTGATCGCAATTAGACGACAACTCTCAATTATGTGCGATCTTCAAATCTATTTTTTCATTTCAAAAATTAACTTTCATAAATTAAAGTTGAAAACGATTAAAAAGAATTTGCCCTGCAAGAATTAAAATGCAACGGAATCAGTTTATCGTGTAAAAAAAAAGTCATTCTGTCTGTTCTTACAGAATTTTGTAATATTTTTACACCTTTAGTTTTTATGATTTTGATTCAGGCATAAATCAAATTTGAAAAAATGAAAACATTTAATTTAAGAAAGAATTACTAATTTTGCAAAACAAATGCAGAGAAATTTCTACACCCGTGGATTTAAAAATGCCTGATACGTTAAAAAAGACAGAAATTTAAAATTTTTGAAATCAGAAATTATTTATAAATTCATAAATCATAAAAATTTCAGTCATCAATTCATCTTTCAACAAATATCAAATCCATTTACTAAACTTATTTTGCAAGTAAAAAAAAAAGTCTAAAACAAAAATTGCAATATGATGCAAATTTTAAGAATTTTATATTTACTTGCCTGTTATTGAGTGTAACTTGGAAAATGTTATTAGCAAGATATATTCGATTACCAAATAAATCCATTGATGGATAAGTTAATTTAACTGCTCCTTTTTTCCTGAATAAATCATAAATTACATGTACAATCGTGAGCAAGTATCTAATGCTAAAGCGTTACGATATACACGAGAAAATATTTCACCTGATATAAACTTCTCTGTATATATTCAAGAAAGTGCTCACAACATCGCTCGCTTCACAATGTGAACCACAAAGGTCCGAATATGAATACCTTCGACCATTATAGGGAATATTCAGTTGGTACTGCAAGTATTCTTCGATTTCAATTGCTTTATCTAAATATCTGCAAATATTGCTGTAAATTTTGTAAATCTTCTTATACTAATTAATGATTTTTTTAAATGTTATTTCTAAAAATCTTTGAATTTAATCATAAAAAGTCGTTTCATTCAACAGTAAACTTATTAATTTACCACTCTTTCAAAAAAGAAAGAGTTAAAGATATTTAGAAATTATTCTTTTACTTGGTGATTTTTGAAGTTGCTTATCCATGAAAATACCTCAGATTTTCGGACTTGTCATCTTCGCAGTACCAAATATTTGAGAGCAAACATCACCTCATATTTTTTATGGAAATATATACATGCGTAAATTTGAATAACTGTGAAAATTAAAAACGTACTTAGGCCTTAAAAGTGACCCATCATCAGAAGCCTTCATAGCAATTACTAAATGAAAAAGTGATCCAAAGTTCCGAAAGAAATCCCGCGTAACTGCGAATTCATGCCGTGATGGAGAATCATTTGCGCTAAAGTCTTCCCGGACGTTATTGTGCTCATGAAAATTAACCCCGCCAGTCGACAATAAAGCTGTCAGTACTAATCTAAAAATGTAGTAATATTAGCATAGATCATATTTCGAATATTATTCAAAAAATGTGCACACAAACACACACAAAAAATAGTCAAAAAACGCAGCTTCAAAAAGTCATCATAAAAAATTCTTTGTTTAAACTGTCCTGATTTGTTTTCAAGTTAACCTATAAGAAACATGATCGTCGTTTTATTTCTAAAAATTTTTGAATTTAATCATAAAAAGTCGTTTCATTCAACAGTAGACTTAAAATTAGGACAAAACTCTTTCTTGTGATTGTCGTATTCTTTATGCGAAAAATTCTGGAAATGCTAAATATTTAAAATAATTAGTTTTGACGTTTATATCCGGAAAAATATTAAGGATGAATGTAATAAGGGCTATAAAGAAATGAAAAAAGTCCCTCACCACAATATAAATAATATTAAAAATTAATTGTCATAATTGTTAATGAGTTAAAAAATAGAACATAAAATGAATAACTTTCAAAACAAATTAGCAAAAAATTACATGCTTTTTGTTTATACTTCTTAGAATACTCAAAAAATCTCTCACACTCAGAAATTTTAAACGTTTTATTCTCTTCAAAAATTTTCTTGCCTCCATCGTAACTTTGCATTAAATTAGTAAAATTATCTAATAGGATTCTTTAATTATCATTCACGATTACTGATCAATTATATAAAAACAAGTTTCTTTTTGACACGACTCTTATTGTATCGACATTTCATTAGGTGCTAAGCTCATTCTAACTCTCATAATAAATATTAATTGTGTTTAATAATTGCATCACAGTTTTGGAACTTTTACATAATGAAAGAATACGCAATAAACTATATAATGATTCTTTAAACTGACAAAATTTTTAATATACAAGTGTTCAAAAATGTTAGAAAAAACATTTTACTTACTAAATATTATGACGATAATTTGCAAGTTTCAATTTTTAACTTGTCAAAAATTAATATACCGTAAACGAGTAACTAGAGAGATAAGTACTACAAAAAATGAAAGATATATGTTTTTTTATTATTGTGAATAATAAAAAAACAGAGAGGTTTATATTCTAAACTATTGTTAGAACTTTATCTCAATATTAATTGCAATTTCAAGCAAAACACAATTTTAGATTACTTTAATAGTAAATACTAATTAAACTTACGTTGAAATTAAAAAAAATCTTGGTCTTCGTGCAATTAACAGTCCAGTTCGATAAAATAGTTGCTCTGTTTTGCTTTCAACCAAAAATCGAAATCTTTCCATCACCTAACCATTAGACTGCAAATTATCATACCATCATGTATGCTTTAAGTAATGTACAAAACTTTGAGACATTATGATAATTTACGGTAATTCATAATTTTTTAGTGAGTAATATATTTTATTGTTAAATATGTTGATAGATTAAGTGTTGCTTTAAAGGCATCATAGAAAACTATTTTATGCACCTCAAAACTTAGCATCAAAACAAGCAGATAAGATAGTACAAAGTTTATATAATTTTACAACGAACCGGGTGGTTTTATTAGAAGCAAACTGCAATATTTTCTTCAATCAGAAATACTTTCTTTTTCTGCAGCTCAAACTATTTTATCAAAAAGTTTGTCATATATTTAAATGATAAAATAAAATTCTACAAGTTTTTATGTAGAAAATAATAAAGAAAGCAAATATCGCCGATAAGATTTTTGTTTTTTTTTTAAAAAAAAACTTTCTATTTTTTTGCAAAAATGATTTATAAACTAAAAATTACTTTAGAACATTTAACTCAAAATTATTTTATATAATAAAGAACGTAAAAATGTATTAGATAGTGAATACATATGACCTTCAAATAGTTAACCTTTTTCTATGTTGCCCATTACTCTCACTTCGTTGCTATTCATCTCGTAACCACTATCAAAATTCTGCATATTTTTTTTAATAATTTAATTTTTTCTTATTCAGTTCACTGGCAAATACAATCAGTTTATAGATTTATTACTTAGAAATATGAATTGCCATGAATAAATAAATGATGCACGCACGTACCTCATAAATGTGTTTAAAAATTCAGAGTAAAAAATTAAAATGCAAAACTTAACAAAGCATAAATCAAAATAGCAATATAAAGATGAATAACAATGGCTTAAGTATGAGACAGTATTAGTTAATTGCAGCAAAAGAGTGAAAAATTTGGATAAAAGATGCTGTGATAAGAGAGGTCGATAAATCAAGGATGCAAATGAAAAAAGAATAAATTTTGCGTTAAAAAAAATAAGGTGGACATGATTTGTGCCCTAATTTTTACGGCTGGTTTATTCTGCAAAATTTCAGCATTTGCCCTTCGACCTTTTTCAATCCTTTCTTTTAAGTCAAATTTATTTGCAAAAGGCAAAAGAAAAACGTTTATCACAATTATTTCCTGCATGTTGCATTTTGTTCTTAACAATTAATTTCACTTCTACATCCGATTTTCTCTTGCATTTATTTCAATTGTGACGTTGTAATTTATAAGACTATCATCGAGATATTTTAAATTTGAGAATTTTCTTTATAATTTTATTTTTTTTAATCTTTTTATTCAGCTCGTTTATTTTTTGATCACTTAAAATAATTTCAAAAAAGTTTTTAATTTAAATGACAAAAAAAAAGAATTTCTTGCAGTAATGATTAAAAATGGTCATATAAAGTTGAAACTTGCAACAAATAAATTAAATCAACAATGCTTAAGTTATTATTCATTTACAACAAACATCTTACTTATATTCTAATAAGTATATTCCTTTCAAATTCTTGTTAAATGCATTTTCAGGCTCTTTTTAAAAAACTTTTAACGTTTAATTTATTTAATTTACTTCAGCTTAAAAACAGTTCAAGAAATATATATGAAAAGCAAAAAAATTAAATGGTATTAATAACGAACATTTTTTCATATGGACAAAAATGGTAATAAGCAATAGTAATGAAAATAATATAGTAAAAAAATATAGTTTCTATTTTTGCATAAATTTATTTCATTAAAAATAAAAAAAAGCGATTTAAAAATTTGCAAACGCGCACACTCAACAAATCAAATATTGAAATAAATTATGATAAAGGTTAAAAATAAATTTGGAATAATATATCTACATGACCAGTAAATTGTCAGAAGAAACATAATTTTGTATCATTCTAAAATTGCACTCAATAAAACAATTTTTGCTAAACTTGTCAGAAACAGGATATTATTAAGAGTATTTAACTGGTTTTGCCAGATCGTATAATGAAGCAGAATAAATTACGAATGGCATCTTAAACTAATATCTTTTTTATTCACACATTTATGCCTTTAAGTTGATTAACAGTACTTTATTAATTTAAATAAAAAGCAAATAAACTTAATCTTCATTTGATTTGGAAAAGTAGCTTACATAATAATTTCACATTTAATTAAAAAATGAACTGCTTGAAAAAGATATAAAATTGACTCATTTTTAATCTTTTATTTTTTCTCCACAAGTGATAACAACTTTTTATTTCATAGAAATATAATAAGCTTGATCTCTAGTTTAGAAAGAGCCAAAAATATAAATGGACAAGGAGGTAAAATTTGTCTATATTTTGAACTATGAAAATGTAATGAACGAATAATTTTACTTTTTCAGTTAGGCTGACCCAGTAAAAGAATATGGTACAAATCTTACTTGCAGCTAACTTTTTACTATAAATTATTAAATAATAAGCAAAATTTGTATTGGTTAGATTTTTTTCAAATATTCATAGTTTTAAAAGTTATCGCAAAGCAATCATTCTTTGTTTGTTTGAAAATTTTTGAAAATAAAGAAATTTTCATGATTTTTTGTAACTATTAAAGAAGTTTTTTATCAATTTTTGAAAACTTTTATATGCTCTTGACTAATCTTTATTATTATTATCTCATAACATCAAAAAATAACAAGCCACCAGAAGTAACAGTTAACAACAGAATGATAAAACTATGAAGTGTAATTAATGAGTTTGTAGAATACTGAAAATGGTATCAAATCTTATTTTTGCAATTCACAAGTTTTGTAATAATAATTTTTCAAATTTTATCAAAATGAAAAGTAAAACTAAATGTATAATTTACTGGCTATAACTGATACAATTTCATGTAAATGTAAAAAAGTATATTGCAAAAGTGTGTGCAATCCATAAGATTATTTAATAATCAGAAAATCAAAATTCTGTAAGTAATATTCAAGGACCAACAAATGAAGTATCACAAAAGTAATCTTGTATTTCATTTAATATTTGTCGACTATACTGATAATCTACTCCTTTCAATGCCAATAATTATGATGAATGATAATTATCTCAATTAGTCACTAATCAATATTTACCGTCGTAATATACATGCATATATCTATAGATCAAATAATATTTCATGAATGGTGATTATTTATTGCGATTTAAATCATGAGCTAGGTGATGAGAAGTGATTAGAAAGAAGCATGAGTGATCAGTGACTGCGTTATAATCACTCCATGGGTTAGTCGAGTTGAACCGTGCAACATTTGGTAGGAAAGGATGACTAAATGATAATAATAACTCGTTTTTAATTCATTCTTTATTCTCATTTCCTCTTACCTTATCATCCCAGACAAAGTTTCCCTCGTGAATTGAATATCTACTCATTTTCTTTTCATTCATGCATTTATTCATTTATTTATTTATTTATTCATTCATTCATTCACACATTCACACATACATATATCCACTTATCCATTTGTCTGATTACCAAACAATCAGTCATTTGTAAAAATTTCCCATCTTCATTATGATTGTCAAAAATTTATTAAAGTACACAAATTTATAAGTATTTATCTATCTATCTATCTATCTATCTATCTATCTATTTATCTATTTATCTATCTATCTATCTATTCATCTATCTATTTATCAATCTATCTATGTGTCGATTCAGTTTATTCATGCAACTTTATATTTGTTCATTAATTGTGTCATATAATAATTTTACCTCAGAAACGTTGACACTTTCATTGGCAATAATGTTTTCAGAAAAAGACTAATAATAATAATTAGTCTTTTTCTTTGTCATTATTATTGTGCTGAAGAATATCCAAACATTTTTGCTGAGTGAGGATAAGACTGCACTGATATTGTTGCGAATAAATTCAGCTTTCGCGAAGTTCTTGCCGTCATTTAGTTGCTCAGTTCTAATTCATAAATTAAATATGTTTAAATCATAAAGATGACAACAACGATACTACTACTACTTCTGCTAATAATAATAATAACAATAATAATAATAAATTAATAATAGTAATAATAAATTAATAATAATAATAATAATAATAAATTGATAATAATAATAACAATAATAATAATAAATTGATAATAAAAATAAAAATAATAATAATAATAACGATGATAATGACGTTTATGATGACGATGCGATGATCATATTGACAAAGAAGAAGATTGAGAGAACCAAGAACTAAAATGGTAGTAGTGAATATATAAAATACGGATCTTTTAAAATCATATTCGATAAATTCCCTTTCTTGCAAAAGAGCGCCAGAAATAATACTTCTTTTTCCATGTACTGTTACTTGAGTTAATGAGATAAGAGACAAGGCATAAGGTGAAAATTGAAATTTTTATCGTTCTCTCGCGAATTCATTTTATTCCACTGAATTCCACATGAAATTGACCCCTTTAGCAATTGTGAACATCATTTCCTCTAATAATTGAAGTGCAAATTTGACCTATGGCATCGCATAAAAATTTAGCTTTCTTCATTCATGCATTCTATTAGTGAAAGTACTAAATGTTCATTATGATCGCAGAAAAGGTAATAAGTAAAACGAAAACTATTTATGCAATTGAAACTATTAAAATACTCTTACTTATATCATTAGAGTGAATTAAATTTAGCTGACTGTTACGAAGAAAACCATGAGAGCGAGATCTTAAACGCTTGATGGATAATTGAATTTACAACATTCCCATATACAATGCATAATTTAAATTAAAAAAAAAGCTTTTATTGTTTATTGCTCTAAACAGTACGGTAGCTATGATGTGAATAAAAATGTACTGTAAAAATAATTACGTTATTGGGTATTATGTGAAAAAAATTCATTGCTTTGTGTGATTTTCAAAATTGCTTGAGAATGACAAAAAAATTGCAGCATTACATCATAACTATATTACAAATAGCGTATTCTTTTTATGTGTGTATATGAATACTGTACCTTCCATAGTTTTTATTTCATATATTAAAGATTTTAAATTTAAAACTTTTTATCTTAGCAGCAAAATGAAGCACCTAGAGTTAGCCTCATATAATATACTCAGAAATGTTATAAAAATGAACAAAATGCAATTATTTCAGACAATTAATATATGTTTTGCAAGAATTTAATTGAAAAAACAGTAAATGGCAGCTGTTACTAAAAATATCAATTCAATTTATCATTCATATGTCAGAATAATTAATGCATAAAAAAATAAAATTAATTCTCAGATAATTTGTGAAGATCTGTATTAAATTTCCACTGCTTGATCAAAAATTAATTAATAATTTTTGCTTGTTATGGATCTTTTTACATTTTTGCATACGCACTAATTTCATATCTTACACTACTATTATCTTGTTAGAGAGTAACAGATTTTCCTTTTTTTATTCAAAAATGTAGCTATGAATATGAATGATTAGTGCCATATTTAACGCATCATTACATTTTGCGCAAAAATTAGGTAACTTTTGTACATCATAAATTCAATAATATGAAATGTGACTTACATTACTATCAATTATTATTTCAGAATGATCGTTGCAGTGTCTTAGAGCTTAATTTATTGACAGTATTACAATTTTCGTTCTCTTTTCTATCCTTTTCTGCCAGTACTGAGTACAAATGCGTTACAAAAATGATATTTTTAACTTCTAGCTAATACAAACATCGATTAATAATTAATAATATGTGTAATTCAATAAGATGACAATTTCCGTTTAAAAAAAAGAAACAAAAAGGTCAAGTTTTATAAATGATAAAAAACAAAGAGGTCGCTTTGTTAACATTTATTTTAGCTTAGTTAAGCCTTTTTTATCTCATTCATTACAACCTTATATGACAGCAACTTTGCTTGTTCCAAATTGATGAAATTTTACAATGAAGTTCCTTTCTATATTATAGTGTTGCTCAGTAATTTTCTTGTCTAATCATAGCGTTGAAATTTCAGCTTACTTCACTTTTTTTCAGCAAATATTTAATTTAAACTCGAATTTAATTTTGCAAGTGAACTAATTTCACTAAATTTTGGCAAAATTCGCTATTATTTCGACAAGTTCATTACAGACTTAATAAAGAATATAAAATTTACGAATTTGTATCAAATATTTGAGGGATTTATAGACTAAAAACCTATAAAATGGGAACAGCATTGCTATTTTGTTAAATTATGCAAAAATAGCATATATCTCCACGAATATTTCCTTCTTAGTAAACCTCGTAATTTTGTACAGATAAACAATAATGACTTGATTAGGATGATTATTTTCACTGTGAGCTTACAAAAAAAGTGGCCGGAACCATTGTCTCATTGCGTCAACTCGTCATCACTTTTTATAATGGTAGGTTTGGTAAGCTTCGTTGTTAATGGGATATTTGTCTCCGGCATTTAATTAATAGTCAGTTCTGTATTTCATCTTTCAGCAATTTAATATATATGGTGAATTGTCTAGTTCATCTATGACCTATGTTAAAAAATTTAACAGAAATTTTCTATTGTTGCGAAAGAAGGATTATTCGTTGAATTATTCATTGCATTGCAGGAGAGTGTGAAATGAGTGATTATGATCATTTAGCAGAACTGTTAAGGCATCCCGAAAATCCTATAGTATTTATGGAAATGACTGCTGGTGGTGCACCTATTGGCACGATTAAGATGGAATTATTTGCAGATGTATGTCCTAAAACGGCTGAGAATTTCAGGTATTCAAGCGATTTTTATTTCGGTTTTAGATTTTGTCATTCAAAGAGATGTATATGAGGTCAGCAGGAAATGTCATAAATTATAAGAAAAGAGAAACATTAATAGAGACAAATAGATCATGGCAGTTATCAGTTTTATTATTCTCTATACAGTGGTAGTTTTTTATATTCCTTGAATTTCAAGAAAAATAAAAAATATTAACTAGATAATTCTATATATGAACTTTATTCAAATTTATTCGTGCACAATTCAGTAACTATATGCCATCTCAAAAATGCGATTTCTATAAACTTTACAAGCAATTTTGTATTATTAGAAATTTATTTTTGTATTTTGTTATGCCCAAGAGTACTGTAAAAATAATTTTTAAAATAATTCTTATATGTAGAAGTAGTTATTGTTTATTTTCAGGCAGTTTTGTACTGGAGAATATCGAAGGGACGGTGTTCCTGTTGGTTATAAAAATGCGCAATTCCATAGAGTTATCCAAGATTTTATGATTCAGGGTGGCGATTTTGTCAATGTTAGTATGTTTAATATTGTTTCGAACAACTAGAATATATATATTTCAATTTATTTCACACACAGTGTTAGAACTAAAGACCCATAAGCAAACTCTTTAATGTTGATGTATATTAATCTTCTTGTGGGAACCAAAAGTTGGAATCGATGATTATTATCTTGTAGTTTTCACCATTCCTTTTTTCTGCATTAGTTAACTCCTGCTATTTTTCAACTATTTGCTGCAATATAATGAGGATAATAATAATGATTATTTCAGGGGGATGGAACAGGTATGACTAGTATATATGGATCGAAATTCAGGGATGAAAGTTTTGAGCTTGACCATTCAGAACCTGGAATTTTGTCGATGGTCATTTTCTTTTTCTTATCATTAATTATTACACTTTGTCTCAAAAATAATGTTCATTACACCGATAATATTTGTTTCCAGGCAAATGCAGGACCAGATACTAATGGTTGTCAGTTTTTCATAACCTGTGCGAAATGTGACTTTTTGGATAAAAAACATGTCGTTTTTGGTTAGTAATCGAAACTTTTTCTTGTGTCTCAGTATTCTTTAATATTTTTAAAACTTGTTTCTTGAGCTGATACTATTAATATAATTCCTTATTCCATAAGTCACATCAGTTAACTAGTATTTGCATATTTCATGATTCTTTCTTTATTATTTTTCATTATTTATATTACTTATCCTGGAAATTTGTCGATGGTCACTTATATTACTTTATCGAACTTTTAAGTTTGATTTTTCTTTTTTGAAGTGATTTATGAGCATCCACCGCTTCGTTTGATAACAGATGCTCTTTACAGGTAGAGTATTGGATGGCTTACTAACTGTGCGGAAAATTGAAAATGTACCAACTGGTCAAAATAATAAACCAAAAATTCCTATTGTTATCACTCAGTGTGGCCAACTGTAGTTGATATTTTTATTATTATATTCGTTGTCGTGATTTGTATCTTATCAGCAATATGTTTTTGATACATGTAAATGAAAGTTTAGCTATTTTTTTAAATATATGACTCAAATAATTTACGTTTTTTCGGACTGACTATTTCAAAACTACTTAATGAACGGCCATAATTGTAAAGCTAAAAAAAGTGTTGAAAAAATTTTCAGTTCATGCGTGCATGCAGTTAATACTTGGGCAGAAACATCACAGATTCTGTTAATTGTTCATGAAATGGAATTTGTACACATGTGTTATCTTTTATAGTTAGTTGTCCTGAATTTCAACTATGCCTGAGATTAAAAAAGTAATTTATGTTGTTCTTTGATTTGAAAGTCATGGTATTGATATACCTAGCAACAGAAAACAATTATTTGTCTTAATATGGCAATCATGTTATCAGTAGATTATTTTCCTATTATTGCAATAAAGTCCCCTAGACGTTATATAACTTTTTGTAGTTACGGTTCAGTTTTTTTTTCTAAATTTTGTCAGATTTAGATTTGAATATCACTGAACGTGTTTGTTATTGTTACTGACAATGGAAGCATCCCCAAGTACTTCAGTCATTCACAATTCGTCTTTTAAATTCAAGGCATGTGTATTTAATTAGAATGTATTGTAGTGATTCTTGTGGAAGGCTGAGATATATTATTTAGTTCTTGTTACGTTTTGGGACTTTTTTTGGTCAAATTTAGTTTTATGGCATCACCATGAGTTTTGTTAGATTGTACTACTTGGAGAAGGCGCTGTAGGCAAAACTTCAGTGATGGTACGTTATGTGGAGAATAAATTCAGCACGCAACACGTGTCGACATTGCAGGTATTTCTGTGCTTCATTTCTATGTTGATGTTGGTTTTAGTTTCGTCGCCGCTCATATTAGATCATCATATGTCTCGAGTTTGATAAAACAATTTTTGCATTTTTTCTGTATAAGTATTGGAATTTAATAGAAGTAATATTTTATATCCTAAACTTGCAAATTCACTTTAATGTCAGCATTTAGGCTTCATTTTTGAGCAAGAAATTATATGTAGACGGAAAAACAGTTGATCTGGATATATGGGATACTGCTGGACAAGAAAAATTTCATGCACTTGGTCCAATATATTATAGAAGCAGCCATGGTGCATTGCTCATATATGACATCACTGATGTTCATTCTTTTGAAAAGGTTCATAATTGCATATAATTAGGATTTATCTTTACTCTCTGCATAAAATTTTAACCGTCACAGTTTCCATTGTTATGTAAAATATATTATTTTTCTCATTCTTTTAATTTTAAGAAGTTAACATTTTGGTAATGTTGATATCTATTCACTCATTTCAAAGCTTACATATTTCGACCGTATTAAAATCATACATTTATAGAATGCTATGTCAGTTAGTAACTGGTACTTTATTTCAAGCCTTTGATAAAGTACTTGATTTTTCTAGCTTTTTAGGTGAAAATGTGGGTGAACGAGCTGAAACGTATGTTAGGTGATGAAGTGTATTTGATTATCATTGGAAATAAATTGGATCTGGAACGAAATCGGAATGTGGATAAAAATGAAGCTACCGAGTATGGTTTTTTAAAAAATGTATCCTGTAATGGAATAATAAAACAAGACATAATCTTTCATATTTTTATTTAAAGATATGCAAGATCCATTGACGCAGGATATTTTGAGACATCCGCTAAAGATAATATTGGTGTTATACAAGCTTTCGATCATCTCGTAAAAGGTATCAGTTTCTATTTTATTTGTTATGTTTTTTTGATTAGTCATTGGTATTCTAGTCTTATTTCGTTATGTCTTCAGTAAACTCATCAAAACTTTAAATTCTTTATATATTGCAGTAGATCAAATATCCTTGTCCAATGCTTAGTTTAGGGATAAATAAATTTTGTATGTTGGTAATATGTGATTGCAGTTATTTTTCAGGCTTAATTGAAAGAGCAAATTTGTCCAGTTTGGAAGGAGTTGAGAAAATGTCTCATTACGGTACAAGAGGAAGAAGTGATTTATTGGTCACTGATGATGCAGCACCTGACAAAAAGTTTTGCTGTTTTATATAACAATATCAGTCATTACCTTGTAAATATTATTTCTAAGCTCATGCTAAAACAGGTAAGTTTGTAAAATATTCCAGTAGCAAAAAGCAGTGTAGTGCGGGACATGATTTGCTAATGTGAAGAGTTTCATCTGTAATTAGCGGTGTTAGAGAGATAAAAGCTATATCCATTCAGTTTCTGTTTTTTAATTTCTTGGAAATCTTGAGAGCCAAAAAAAAATTACAGCTTAATAATTCGTTGTACGCTTTCGCTATCTAAAATTTAAGAAATTGGAGATCAGTTTGTAGCTTGAAATGAAATTGAATTTTTTGGAGAATAAATAGCGTTTCTTAGAGGATAAATGAATTAAAAACTGTGATCGGATGTCTTGGGAACTATAGTTATTGAGTGAGTTTCACCTATCAATTTTACTGATGCAATTTAGTTTTGGTATGAAAAGTGCAATAAATTTAATACCGATATTTCTCCTATATTCGGAGTGTCTTTTGATTTTACGTAGTTTTGATTTCAGTCATACTGCTACTTATCAGTGAGCGGGTCTAGGAGAGTCAGTGGTAAGTTAATTATTATAGCATTTAACAGATCTCAACATTTCCAAAAAGAGATGTAATATAGTTGTCTAGATTATACAGTTTACTCTCTCTTAATATATAGTATCATTTCAGACATACAGCGTATTTTGATAAATTTCTAATTTGTGTAGTACTGACACACAGTGTTACTTTTAATTTAACTTGATTCGTTCTTATACGTTGTTCGAAAGTCTTTTCTTCATATTTATTTGGAATATATTCTTTTATGTGCACATATCTTTTTTACTCGAAATTCGTAACTTTTCGCGTATATTGTCGATAAATCTGAAAAAAATATCCACTGATAAGAATAGCGATTAGCGCTTATTTTTATCGGGTATTTTAAATTTTGTTTAAAATCCCAATTTGTTGCACCTTTTTTGCGCCATTATGTAGATGCTCATAGATTTTTTTTGTACTATGATATTATATTGTTAAGTTTAATTAGTACATGGGTTAAAGCATTTCCATCGATACTTGAGAAGAAAAAACACTGAATTCTCTTTCGTAAAAGTGATAAAATTTAACTGCCAAACAGATGAACGTTTCTTGAATTAATTCTCTCACTGATTTGAGTATAGACTGTGAAGTTGAAAAATAACAGAATATATTCGTATGTATCAACAGCTAATCATTTTTTGATCTGACCAAAAGAATCCTTCGTCACAGTTTGGCTAGTTTCATATCTTCGTAATATACTGCAGCTGCTTCAGAATTACATGAAAACTACGCGAGGAGAAAACTAACCAGCCCTTGTATAGTTTTGTTTGCTTTTTTCCATTGGCAGATAACTAACTGGCTCACTCTGGTTAAATTAAAATTGAATTGATTCGCAAGTGGAAGAATATGAAGCATGGGACATTTATGTAATCAGAGCATGATATGAAACTATGATTTATGGTGAGTTGCGTGGTATATATTTTTTTGATTTATTTCGATAAACAGGCTTACTGAAAGCTGATGGAATGCATATTTTAATAATAGACTTTCTTGTCGAGATGCAGTTTTATTATATAGTAAGCATAATTAGTAACTAATAAGCAATCATTAAAGAGAAGTAATTTTCCTAGCAGCCACTACTTCTACTCGAACCTTGACCTTCCGTACCATATTCACGCTTGTAAGGAAATTCTTTACTGCTAGAATGTGAGAGTGAGTTCAGACGAGAAGTAAGTGAATTTGCTGACCGTCGAAGTCTTTCGTACAATGGGGCACACATTTTTAGTGCAATCTGTAAAACATTTTTGAGGTGAATTAGCTTACATAATTCTCATGTCTGAACTAATTTATTGCTTAATGTGTGTTATTCAATGTTTTGCAGTTCATTCTATGTAAAATTCATTTTAATTTTTCTATATATTTCCGAATAGACAGGTAGTTTGTCTTATTTGTTTACTCACTGATAATAATCTAGTTACTTTATAATTAGATGCCTTTTCTTTCCAAAATATAAAATTAAGAATCAGTCTTCCAGAAGATATATTAGTTTTGTAATGTAATTGAAATTTATGGATTACTTCATAAGGCGGTGGTGGTTCATCGATTGGTCTCATTTGTTCGATTAACGGATGTCGATCATCCGTCTGTTCTTCGCTAATTGAATTATATCCTGATGAACGCCAAGCTGCTGATAAGCCACTTATACTAGCAGATCGTGGTGGGCCATTTAATGTTCGTGGTAAAGCTAGCGATGGAGTAGTTACAGTTGATGGGTCTGATCGAGTAGTTAATCTTAAAATTTGAAAGTTTTGATTATTTTATCAAAAAAATAATGTCACTCTTTTTAATAAATGCGTTACGACTTCCAATTTTAAATTTCAATATCAAATAATACTTCCGCCTTTCACTTTTGAGCCAACATGAAAACAAACTTGTCGAATGATTGAAATCATTTCATTTGAAGTAACTCACTTATTGAACATTAAGCTAATAGAGCGACTTCGAATTGGTACATTTTCAACAAAGTTGCGTCGATTTGGTGATCTAATCGTATCATTCTGCCAAAAACGCCGAGGCGAATTACGAACAGCTCCATAATTTGTTATTACCACATTTTCATTACAGGTCGTTATCACACGATTTCTATTGCGGAAGTGACCATTTGGAAGGATGTGCTTTAAAACATGTCAACTTTATATAATTTTAATCAATAACAAGGCGAAATGTCATAAACACAAAATTTTAGCTAAATTTCTGTGTATACTCTCAAACTACTTTATTTTAATTGTCAAAATTTACAATTGTAAAAGGAAAAAGTAAAACCTAGCGGAGCTTTGTGGTTAATTTTATTGAATTTGTTATCACTGTATGTTTACTTCATCTTACTTTCTATTCTAACCAGCAAAGATTCATTTTAATTACAGCATCGCAAACTGTCATTTAAAAATTCGTCTCTACTGTAGAAATATTCAGAAATTGAAAACCTTTGCGGTCTTTAGTACTAGCTTTTGCATGTCTTTTGCCTAGAACTTTTAATTTTTAGATTTTATCTAACATTCAGTTAAAAATTAGATCATCACTGTTATATATAAATTCTGAATTAAAGTTTATTTTTTCTTTGTACATTGCAAATTTTCGTATAAAAGAGATATGACTGCAATTTAAAGTGAACGTTTTGAAATTTGATGCACTAACAAATTTTTAACAATAATTTATAGCTGTTCATTCTACTAAGAAGCTTTCTTTTCATGATAACTGACCTGATTGAAAGCATTACTGGGCTCCATAAGCATCGCTTCACTATAACTCGGTACCACCAAGTAACCATCTCGTTGAATCAGCAAGTCCAAATCGTGACTATCAATAGTAGAAGTTCGAGTTACGGGACCGGTATAATTAATACTTGATGGACTTAAAATCAAATATCTTTTTGATAAATTTTGTGACAGAACAGTAGTGCAATCAGTACCAAAACATGAAGTTTCAGTTATATCTTTTATTCGTTTGTGGATTGAAAATTTGCAATGTACAAGTATCAAATCTTTCAGAAAGAAAACAGTGAAAAATGCCCTCTTTCCTTTTATCATTAGGAATGTACCTTAAATAATTTGTTCCAAATAATTTGGAAATTTGATAGTTGACATGAGCAGTACGTAAGTCGCAAATGAGTCTTAAAGGCCAACTTAGTAAAATAATACTGAAAATCCAAAATGTTGCTGAGGATAGATACCATGGGCACTTGTTAGATGGAGATGAATATACAATCAAAGATTCAACGAATTGCAAATCAGCAAAATCAAGACCTTCACGCACCTAGAATTGATTCATTCAAAAAATAATAATCACTAAATTAAAAATTTCTGATATCACTTACTTCCATATAGTCATCACGAATTTCATTTTCTGTGAAAAATCGTGCTCGTTGCTCTTCAAACTCGTTTGCTGCTTGCATACATGCAAATACAAACCCCTTTGTGATTGTTATTTTAGTTATCGGATATTGTTCCAAAGCAGTTAATGATTTGGATATATCCTGAAGAAATGTATAGCACCATAAATTTGGTGAGGAAACTAGTTAGAATATTCATTATTGTAGAAATGTTACATATTCCTGGAATAGACTTTTAAAAATGAAATTAATTATACCATCAAATTGCAGGTTATTACAAAATTATATCTCATATTTTGCTTTCCACTAAATTTTGTGCTTACGTAAGTTTTTATATTCAAGCTTTATTTGTTAACTTAAGACATCTCATAATTTTCAAATACCTTGACGCCACATGTATCATAAATGAAAATACTTCCAGCAGCATGTGAGTTGACCCGTTCGTAAAAAGCTTGTGTTGCAGAAATAGCGTCACCATTTCGATACCTTCAAATTTTTATTTTCATTTTAAAGTATTTCTCAGTTATTATTTATTTTTAAATAATTAATTTCATTCAGAAGCAAATGGTACCATTAATTCAATTATAATAGCACAATGAAAGTATAAAATAAAGAAAAAAATTAGGAGCAAAGATAAGCCTTACTGATAAAAATATAGTGCTGTTTTTTATGTCTTACGCAAATTTAAAAAAAATTCGAGAATAAGATTCAAGGCTGATTAGATCAAGTTAGTCATTTCTGTTGTGACTGATTTTATTTATGTTACGAAGTGAAAAGCTTGATTATATGCTTTATTTTAAAAACAAATAATTAAAATAAACTGCTATTTAAATTGTACCTGGTAACTTGTCTTGTCCTTCTTACGTAGTGATAACAAATACTTTTCCACCAAACAATGGGTTGCGCACTTCGCATTTTTTCGATATATTCTATTGCTTCAATATGATTTACCTAAACTGATTTAATTATATTTAAGTTATTCACTATTTATTGCGTACTGTGTTTGTTTAAAAGCGAAAATGATAACTTGCAAGCTACGTAATAACTGTGCTTTACAATATAATTTTAAATTAATATTATGTGATCGAAAAATTTGAAGAGTATAATAAATTGATGGCTGAAAAGCGTACACGATAAAAACATTACTATAGTAAGCACTTATAAGTATAAAATTTGACTTAATGAGTAATCAAATTGTTACTTTTTTAATCTTACAAACTTTAGTTCGATTATACCAACATTCCATAATATAGACTATATAAAGCAAAACACCAAATGCAATCGGTATGAAATTATATCCCTGAGAACATGGCCCATATGAATGATTGAAATTTCTAAATGTGTACATATTTATCATTATATCATCGGTTTATGTAATGAAAATCAAAATTGGCTTGTACAAAAAAAATTAAAATGAAATAAGTTTACATCATTTGGAGAGTAAAAAATACTAGACACAATTATTTGTCAACTATAAAATTCTTTATTATTTATTTATGTAACAATTGAAAAGTCATTTTCTTCTATGTTCAATTATCTTATTGTTGTGTTGTATATGTGAACTATTATATTGTTTCATTTTTCATAATTTTAAAAGGCAATAAAAATAAATCATTATTACGCATCATGTTTGATAAAATTGTTGCTAATATTATATTAAATCAATGCTATAATACAATAACCAAAAATTATTCTGGCTCTTGTATTATATCCCTGAGAACATGGCATGAAAATTTTAACTGTATGCACATTTTAAATTTATTTTTTTTAAGTTACAATAATTTCGCTAAATAGTCAAATTTAAACGAAAGTTATTTAAACAGTAATTGAATTCGTTGAAATATAATTGATTGTTCAAAAGAACTTTTTGAATTTTATACATTTGAAAATTTACAAAAAATATATACAAAGATCAGAATGTTGCAAGTAATTTCATGTTAATGATCTAAACACTAAAGTCATGTAAATAGCGATGCTTACGTTAAATAAGTATGAAAAGCATATGCAAAATGATTAAAGTGACACCAAATAACATAACCAATACATAAATGCACCATTAACGTTGTTAAGAGACATTTCCAATGAAATTCACGACGAAACGCTTTCCATAGTGTTTGAGGTTGCGGTTTTTGCTAAAAATTTTAAATAAATTTAAATATAAAGCTAATGATTTTACATGCTTAAAATATGAATTCATGAAATTTTAAAATGTGTTAGAATAAAACTGATAATTACTTTTAACATTATCTAAAAAAAATTTCTGCAAAAA